AATATTTGGTCTCACCACCTCATCACTCAGTAAACAAAGATCTCAAATCTTATATAAACCTATTAAGGATTGAACTTGGGAAGGGGGTAGAACCTTTAAGAGGAAGCAAAGTTCAGACAATTCATGCCAGGTATCAGGGGTACACCTGTAATCCCAGTGACTCAGGAGGATCACAAGTTCCATACCAGCCACAACAATTTAGCAAGGCCCTAAGCCAGATCCTGTCTCAAAATAAAAGTTAAGCAAATAAGGCTGGGAATGTGGCTCAGTGGTAAAGCACCTCTCATTCAACGGCCCACCCCCCCAAATCAGACACAATTTAAAGACATTTAAATTCAAAGGTTCTACTTCATCACAACAATTTCAAAGGAGTCCTAACTATACATGTCAGATCCTATACTAAAGCTATACTTATATTATCTCATTTAACCCTCACAACAAGTTTTACTTTACTAATGAGGAACTTAAGAATTTAAATTGCCCAAATCAGAGCAATCTAATGGGATTCAAACTCAGTTAATCCCATTAGAGTATGTTTTTCCAATCAATTATTTCCATTTTTATATCCATTTAAAATATTAAGCATCTAGGATAAAACAAAGACAAAAGTCAGAACTACTTAGTGACTTCTAGAATGTGTTTAACACTCAACCTTTAAATATCCCTTCTTACCAAAACCAAAAACACTTTAGCCATCAGAGAGCACACAGGACATACTTACCCGGGGCAGAGTATCAAAAAAGAAGATACCAAAACAAAAACCACACTATCATATAAACCAGCTTAGCAAATTATGGTCTGTAGGCTAAATCCAGGCCTTAGCCTGTTCTTACACAGGATAAGAATGGTTTTAACATATGCAAAAGGGTTGTAAAAAGGAGAGAGAGAGGGGCTAGGGTTGTAGCTCATGTCTAGTAGAGCACTTTCCTAGCATATGTGAGGCACTGGGTTCGATCCTCAGCATCACATAAATATAAATAAAATAAAGGTACTGTGCCACCTACACGTAAAAAAAAAAAAAAGAAAGAAAAAGAAAAATTTACCTTCTGTTCCTTTCCAGAAAAAGTTTACCAACCCCTGATCTTTGTTTTTGTTTGTTTTGTTTTTTTTGTACCAAGGACTGAATCCTGGAGCGTTTAAGCACTGAGCCATATCCCCAGTCCTTTTTATTTTGAGATAGGGTCTCACTAGGTTGCTTATAGCCTCAAAACTGCTGAGTGGACTCCCTTAGCTTCAAACCAGAAGACAAATCTCACAACTCCAATTGGAAGGCAAAAAGTAAGTGACTCCCTCTCACCAGGAGGTGGCAGTAGTTTCTTCCAGAAGAAGCCCTTTCTTTTTCAGTTCTGAATTGATTGCTGGCTCATGTGCTAGAATAATTTGTAGTAGCTATTACAAAAGGCAAGAGGTTTGACCTCTCCTCAGAACAACACAAAAATGAGATGGGAAGTGACAAGAACTAACCACATTCTCTTTAGTGACCTATTCACCCCCAAGTAGAAAAATGATACCATTCCCTTCATAAAAGTGTCTAAGCTAAAAGGTATAAGAAGCAGAAGAATACAAGTGAAAATTATCAACTTGCACTGTTCAAAGCTATTCTTCATTTTTGCTTCTGAAGCCAGATTTAAAGTTAGGTAGTCAGTGTAGTTAGGTAAATCGGGTCTAATATTGAGTAAAATCCAAAATAGAGGCCATGTTGAGAATGAATTCAGGGAAAAGCAGAACAATTCTTGGAATATTAATGTCCCCAAGGCCCAGAGCCCAGAGTGTTAATGAAACAGCTCCCAGCAAACTTGAAGATGCTGACTCAAAAGTCCTTAGTGCCCAGATTACTTCTTTGGCCCACCTGTGCCCCACCCTTCGGGCCTTCCCACCTACATTCCATCACTGAAAGATAACAGAACAAAGGACAGGAATGGGGTGGGGGGACCAGATGAAGACCCTAGGTATAAAAAGGGGAGACAACCGCACTTCCATGGATTCTATCTCTTGGGTCCCCTTCTTCCTTCGGGAGAAGTCTTTTCTGCTGTCCTTTAATAAACTTCTACCTTCCACTCTGACCTTGCCTCGGCATGCTTCTCTGATGTTCTACTTCAACATTGGGGAAGCAAGGACTAGTCAACAGCGGTAACAATTCTACAATTCTTAAGCGTTACTATCCCTCAGTGAGTTAAGTAAGATAATGGATTTCTGTCTCCACATCTTCAAGCACAGTGACATTTTAAAGATCATAAGTTACAAGGAGAAAATGTTAATCTTTACACATTTCCCTCAGAGCTAAACCAGAAGTCAAAACAGGAAATTACAAGTCAACTGAACATGTGCAGAAGTCACAGGTACCGGGTGACTGCACTAGCTAGTTGGCCTGACAGAGTTTGGCAAACACCCATGAACTAACAGTGCCAGACCTCTCATTCTTATTCCAACCTTCTACTACAAAACCAAAGGCTTCATTTTCACCCAGAAAACCTTGAACACTTAATCAGTTAACATTAGTACAAAACATGCCATGTCATGAAGCTCCTTGCTATTCATGATGACTCAGCAGCTGCTGCAAAACATCCACTGGATTGTCTAGTATAGTTGAGAGCAAGCAGGTCCACCAAAGTTCCAGTAAGGACTAAGAAAGGTCCTTATTTTAAGATGAAGAAAAAAAAAATAATAATAAGAAGAATATACTTTAATATATCCCCCAATACTACGTAGTCTCTGCCAGTATTAAGTGATCAAGAAACCCCTAAATATCTCAGATCCCAGTTCAAAAGCTAAAATATATTTTCTTTTTCAATCAAATGGCTGGTACAAGAAAGAAGTATTTTAGATAAGAAATGATGATAAATTATCAAGATTTAAAATAAAACCACACAGCCTGAAATCATAGCAGCTCTAAAAACAACTTGGACTTTAGGTGTTGTACTATTAAGGCATTATCCCTCCAAAATTAGATTTTTATCTAAGTACTTTTTAAAATAAATTGTGATTGTAACTTTTGCCACCCTAGAATATATAATTTCCCTTCTAAATTCAATCCAAACCATTCATTGGTCCTTATTTTTAAAAATTCATTTTTTTCTATAGCAGCATAAGATCCAGGAAAGCATTCAGTTTATTCTTAGGAGAAACAGAAAGCACGTAAATCTAACTTCCATACACAAAGGATTACGTAAGGTTAAATGGTCAGGCTTGTGACCTGAATTCTAATCTTAAATCTGTCTCCAAACACCCCTGTTTCTCACAAAGAACTCTGAAAACCAAACTTTTCTGCAAATATCTGGGGGGGGGGGGGATTGTTGGGAGTGTTAATAATGTCCAGACTTCTAACCACGCAAAAAACGACTTACTACATAAAACACGACATACACTATTATAAAATTTCCTTCAAATCTCTACTTCTAAAAATCTGTTGATAGTGATACAATTTAACAATATCACCAAACAAAACGTTGAAGGGTTCAACGTTCAAGCAATCGAGGAAACGTACCTTTAACAGTATGCAACAAGTTCTCAAGGTCCTTGTGCGGTCTGTACTCTGTAGTTTGAAAGCACTGAAGACGCACTCCCCACCTTAGAGCCACTGAGAGGTTTTACTAGCGGCTCTGCCAAAACAGGGCAAGGCTTCCCGCTCAGTCCTCCCGAAGAGCCCCGTCTCAAAGCGCGATTTTCTCGGAACCAAACGTCTCACCCACACCCACGAGGAACCCCCTTTTCACCATCTCCAGCATCCCGCGGGCGCAGGGTGTCCCCCCCGGGGTCCTGAGCACCTAACCCTGGAGCACGACCTGGCTGTTAAGACCCCAGGTGCGGGAGCCCAGGGCCGGCGACCGGCCAGCCGCAGGGATCGGCCGACTCCAGCCTCCGAAATGCAGAGGGGGAGGAGAGAAAGGGAGGGAAGAGTCGCGCCTCAGAGCCCGACGTAAGGGCGGAGGGACTTTCAAAACGCCCCGGCGCACGGCAGCCACGGCCAGGAGGGGACCTAAGCCGCGGTTCTCGCCGGAGGGCCTCGGGCAGGGGACGAGGGCCTCGGGCCACCCTGCGCCCTAGAGCGCCCCCCAGCTCCTCGGCGCCCCGAGGCCCGTCCAGGCAACCCCCTCCCCGCGCCCCTCTAGACGGCCAGCTCCGGGGCCACCAGCCACCTCTTTCCTGTCCCCTCCAAAGGGCGTGATACCGTCAAAGCCCCAAAACCCGCCAAAAAAAAAAAAAAGCCCACGTAGCCCCAAGCCCCGTATTTCCTTTCCCGCCCTGCGCCCGCCGGGGAAAGCCCCGGGCCAGCCCCGGGCCGGGCACGGCGAGGGCGGCCCAACCCCACGTGTGCGCCGCAAGGCCCGGCCTGGCGCAGCCCACTTCCCGTCGCCGCCTCCCGGCCTCTACCCGGGCCTCCCGGCCGCTCTCCACGTGGGGCGCCGGGGCCTCACACCCGGCCCCGCCCGCCGCCCGCGTCCCGTACCTGGTGCTGCGGTCGCCCCGGCTGGTAAGGCTTGATGGGCCTCTGGTGGCAGCGCCGCGTCCGGATCTTGCCGCCACCGCCCCCTCCTACTCCTCCGACTCCCGAGGCCATGGCGGAGCCTCGGCGGCTTCCCGCTCCCGGGCGGGAGAGGCAGAGGCGGCGGCCTTAGGGCCTCCCCCGCCCGGCCCCGGCCCAAAAGTCGGCCCGCGCTGCCCAGACAGTAAGGCACAGACTCACGGAAAACCGCGAGGTCGCGAGCAGAAACCGAGGGTGCGCGCGCGCCGGCGGCGGGGGGGTGGTGGAGGGTGAGGCCGAGGACCCGGCTCCAGAGCGGCAGCTCGCGCGGACCCCGCGTCTGTTTGTCACGGTCTCTATGGAGATCTCCCGCAGAGGACGGCGCGAGCCGCTCCCGGCGCCGCTGAGGCCTAACCCGACCGCCGGCCGGCGGAGCAGCCTCTTCCGTCGCCCTAGCTGTCGCTGCCGCAGTTGAAGCCGCCGGCGCCGCCCGCCTACCCCTCCCCTCTGCGTACAGCGCCCGCCCCGCCGTCGTCGTCGTCCCTGCAGTCGCCGCCGCTGTTGCGCCTATTGCCGCTGTTTAGGCCGCCGCCGCGATCGCGAGCCAGAGCACCGTCACTCGTCAGCGCCCGACGCGTGCGCATCATCACCGCCGCGACGAGGGGAGGCGAGGAGGAAGGAAGGCTGGTCGAGCCCGCGCTCTTGCCGCGGGGCCCGCTGGGAAACGTAGTTCAATGCCCGGTCGCGGACGCGCAGAAGGAGTGGCGCCCTGCCGGCAGAGGCACAAAGCCTGGGCGGCGCGTCTGCTGTGGGCTGTAAAGGAGATCTTGGAGAGACGTTGGGCTTGAGCACAGTAACCTCCTCCCACTCTGCTTCTCCCCATCATGGTTCAGCTGGCAGAAGGTGCATGTGAAACCAAAGACAGGAGCTGTTGATGTTTTATTAAGATGAAAAAAGAGAAAAGCAAACCTGGGGTTGAATAAGCACTGTCCATGAACCGTAGGCCTAAAGCAGAACTGGAAAATACATGCAGCTTACCAGTGTTTCTTTAGACACACAAGGGCTTTGCTGCCAAGCACACAGGGCTGGAATTCTGGCTTTGCCGCTCTGCCTACTGGACTTTGGAGGACTCAAAACCTTCTGGGCCTTGGCTTTCTGCTCTATAGAAGGGAAACTTTAAAATCCACCTTATAAAACCATAGTGAGGAGTAAATGTGATCATCTGTGTACAGCACTGAGTGTATTTACTGGTATGCAAGAAGCACAGTAAATGGATGCAGTTATAACCTAATGTAGTTAGCCATCATTATGGGTAAGTAATAAATTTCTAGTAATTTTAAAGGTAAACATTTTTTTTCCAAATAGCATTCTATTTAGGAAACTGAATAAGCCAGATTCAAAGACTCAATTCACTACCTGTAAAGATTCTAAGAGCTGACAGAACGATTTGGTCCAGTTTGTCATTCAACCTCCAAAATGGAGGTTTTCAAAGATTGTAGCTGGCACCATCAAGGACACTGAGCTAGGCAGTCAAAGCCAGTATTAGAACCCATCTGTAAGAGCTGAGACACTATCTGGATGCAGTAGTGCACGCCTGTAGTCCCAGTAGGCTGAGGTAGCAGGATCCAGAGATCAAAGCCTGCCTCACCACCTTTGGGAAACCCTGTCTCTAAGTAAAACATAAAAAAGGACCGGTGGATGTGGCTTGATGGTTAAGCACCTTGGAGTTCAATCCCTAGCACGACAATAACAAAATAAAACAAAAGATCAGGGAGAAAAATCTGTTGTGAAAAACCATAGGCTTTATGTTCTATTTGAGACAATTATTTTTGAATCTATAATAACTTTGAAATCAAATACACAAATCTATCACTTACTAGCTGTGTAGCCTTGGAGAAGTTACTGATCTTCTTTCTAAGCTTCAGTTTCCTCATCTGCAAATAGAGTGAATATTGACCTCAACAGGGTGGTGGCCCTGCTGAAACTTCAGATAGTAACTTCAGATAGAAAGCATCTAACGATATTGACAAGGTATTAGCTACAGATAACAAGCTCCAAGAATTCTATACCCTCTCACCCCCAATCTGTATGATTCAAGTCACTGTTTAAATCATATAAGTGAAATTGTAAAACCAAACTTTTAGTACCTTCAACTTGTAATGCCTTTTAGCACTTAAAGAAATCATGCTGTACCGGATACAGGCTGCAGAGCAAACGACTTTCTGTGGCACCTCTGACCATATCCACTAAGACAAGTTGCCAAAAATGATAAACAGAATTAGTCTACTTCTTCTTCTCCCCAGTCCTAGCTTCCCTCTACTGCTATTACCCCACAGACTCTCCAGGTATTTTCTTCCCCCTGAAGCACTGCATCTTCCCCCCCACCCCAGTACTAGTGACTGAACCCAGGGCGCTCCGTTCAGCTCCATCCCCAGCCCTTATTATTATTATTATTTTTTGAGACAGGGTATTACTAAATTGCAGAGGCTAGCATCAGACTTGCAATCCTCCTGCCTCAGCCTCCCAAATCATGGGGATCACTGGCCTAAGCCATTGCAACTAGAAGAAATCCTCTTCTTTTCTTAGGTAGGTATTTGCCAAGCAGAGTAAGGTGATTCCTGGTGCTTACTGGCAGGGAAGATCTGTACCTGATCTTTTAATTGGTCTTCAATTGTAGGAGATTGAACTGTATCCACATCTCATCTTCCTTTTCACCCTATCAGAATCAAAATTTCGGGCACAGGAAACCATCTCCTTCTTGAGAGGGACAGCCTTCACAGCCAAGCTTTGAAAGGAAGAAACATGTAAAAGAATTGGGCCAAATCTAGACAAAACTTCAGAGTAGAAGATGGGTAGAATTTTGAGGAAATTGGGGAAAATGCACATCTCTCTTAGCCTTGCTCTCAATTGTTTCCCTCATTCCACAGGTATTTCTTGGAAGCATAACAATATTTAAAGGGACAATGATACAGTAGTCCTACATTCATGTAACTGATTCACTGAAAGCTGTACCAGAAAAGAAATAAGAGGAAGAAATCTGCAATGAACCTGGACCCAGTTGGTTTTATTTTTTGTTTTTAGCTGAAACAAATAGTTTATTGGGAGACAACTCAGCTCATGAAAATCCTATTACTACTACAGTATTTCTTCACCAAGAAACTTTTTTTATTTTTTCCCCTATGACATGGTAACCATCTGCCAATCATAAATCAGCAAATACAGAAGCTGCTGGCCTTTCACTAGTAGATGAAGCATATCCACTAATTGCAAAAGAAATAAATTTGGTCAAAGTCCATCCTGGATTTAAAAAATAGCCTTCCTTTATTCTTTAAAAGGTAAGACGATCATTTAAAGATGACAATGAAAGGAAGTTAGGTAGCTTTATGTGTTTACTTTGTATAGATAAAAAAATGAGGCATGTGCTATGATGTCTACTTTGTTAAGTAGTTTTAGATAGATCTCCTTGAGCTTCACATATCATGTGATAATTATTACCAAGCATTTCATTAGATAGAAAAATAATGTTAAAGTAGTGAGATTCACATTCTACTATATACAATCACAGCTGGAGAAACTCAATAAATATGACAATGCAGAGTTCAAATTCTAGAAAGTTATTGGAGGTTTTTGCTTGTTTGTATTTTAGGGGAAGAAGGGCCATGGCAGTGGGAAGATTTTTAAAGATATAAATCAGTATACTCTCATTAACTTATTATATTTTCTGTCTTTGGAGAATAAAGTAATATTTAAGATGAAATGAATTAACTAATGTAACCAAGTTTTGATTAATTACATCTATCACATGATTCCAACATGCGTTAGATTTTTCTTCTTCCTGACTACATGAATGAACATAAACACATGTAACTCAAAGCAAATTTTTAAATTCATTATGTTTTTGTGGGTGGAGGCATACCAGAGATTAAACTCAGGGGCATTCAACCACTGAGCCACATCCCCAGCTCTATTTTGTATTTTATTAGAGATAGGGTCTCACTGAGTTGCTTAGCACCTCACCATTGCTGGCTTTGAACTTGAGATCCTCCCGTCTCAGACTCCTGATCCACTGGGATTACAGGCATGCGCCACAACGCTCAGCCCCTAAATTCATCATTTTTGAATGAAATTGTTTGGATAAAATGACAACTGAATTCAGGTCAGTTCCCATCAATTCAAGGTCAATTCCCATCCTAACATTAAAGACAGCTAGTGAATCATCAACTGAAATCAAATGATTAAAAAACAAATATTCTGGGCACCGTGGTGCATGCTGGTAATCCCAGCAACTCAGGAGGCTAAGGCAAAAGCATCACAAGTTCGAGGACAGCCTCTGCGACTTCACAAGACCCTCAGCAACTTAGCAAGAGTCTGTCTCAAAAGGTAAAAAAGGCTGGTAGTGTAGCTCAATGGTAGAGCACCCCGGGTTCAATCTCCAGTACCAAAAATATAAACAAAAATAAAAACAGTTATTTAATCATAGAAATGTAAAATTGTGCTGCAATTGAATACAATGAATCAAAATACATTCTGCTGTCATATACCTAATTAAAATTTTTAAAAAAGAAAAGAAAACAATTATTTATTGAGAGCCATTTAATACATGTTGAGCTCTTAGTATTTGGTATGTCATTGAATACAACTGTATCCTCTAAGGATTGTACTGAGTTCTCTTAAAGTTTAATGCATTATGCTCTACTGACCACGAGGTTCTTGACACAATTCACCTACAGAATTCTACAGTGTAAATTCTAACACATTATTGAATCTATTCCATACAAACAACCTATTGGCTTGTTCAGTTTTAGAGTTTTTTAAAAAATATAACTGATCAGTTACTTTAACCAGACTCATCATTATGGTTGCAAGTATAAAACAATTAAGAGTCCCAAAATTCAAATTGCTAACACCAAGTACCAAGCTTCTTTATTTTTTAACGGCATTTGTAGAAAATACTCCAATTGATCAGACCCTAACTTGTGAAAGCTTTTCTTTTAAAGTGCATTATTCTAATTAGTATGGAAACAACCCTAATGTACACATCACCCCACCACCTCCACCTGAAAAGCACAAACTACCTAGTTTAAACTAACAGTGGCTTTTGGTCCGTTGCTGCTCACTGACTGTAGCAGCATCATCCCCTGGGAGCTTGTTAGACTAGAGCATCTCTGTCCCTTCCAGGCCTACTCAATCAGCACCTCCAGATGAACAAGATCACCAGGTGACTTGTATGCACATTAAATTGAAAAGCACTGTTTTGAAAATCAACTATGTCACCAGAATTTATTAGGCACATCTGAAATGTTAAGAATCTGAAACCAAAGATTAGTTTTGAAATAACCTTGAGTGGAGATATTTGAAAAACACTTTGCTAATTCCCAAACAGCCTTCTTATAAAACTTTTCTTTTAGAATTAATTCATGACAGACAACAACCAGAAGACATAGATGTAGAGTAAACCATAAATCAAGAGCCTATGACCAGCTGGGTGTGGCAGTGCATGCCTGCAATCCCAGTGACTCAGTAGGCTGAGGCAGGAGGATTGAGAGTTTATGGTCAACTCACCAAATTATCAAGGCCCTAAGCAATGTAGCAAGATTCTATCTGGAAATGAAAAGAGCTAGGGATACAGCTCATTGGTGAAGTACCACTGGGTTCAATTCCTAGTGCAAAAAAAAAAAAAAAAAAGCCATGAGCAGAGAGAAATGCCAGAAAACTGGTGGTAAATCATTACTATGACTTTTCTGAAGTAATCACAAAGTCTTTCTGGGGGCTGGTGCTGGGGATTGAACTCAGTCACTCAAATACTGAGCCATATCCCCAGCCCTATTTTATATTTTATTTAGAGACAGGGTCTCACCGAGTTGCTTAGCACCTTGCTTTTGCTGTGGCTGGCTTTGAACTCATGATCCTCCTGCCTCAGCCTCCTGAGCCACTGGGATTACAGGTGTTACCACTGTGCTCAGCCTCACAAAGCATTTTTAAGGAAGTATGCAAAAGCAAGTAAGGGATATTCTTGGGGACTGGATCATTTATTATCTAGTATCCAGAATGCCAGATGAAAAGTCAGGTAACTTAGAATAAAATCTGTAGATTTCACTTTCTTGAACTGCAAAACTTTAAAGGTAGGTATGATAGCTGCTTTCTCCTTGATAAAGCAGAAAAGCAAATAGATTGCCTCCTCAGACTATATTGACCTCTCAAAGAGGCACAATGAAGCCACAATGATGTGTAGATACAGTATTTTCTCCAAAACTTTTTCTTCTGTCAAATTTCAATTTTATAACCATAAAGGATCCTTTGGTTCAAAAATTCCCTTGAAGTTGGTCATGCATAGTAGTCTTCCCACAACACATCTAGAGTTCTTGACTCCTACAACAAGAAGGCCTAAAAAGTGGTGCAGTACCAAAAAATGGAAAATTATGATTTAAGTGCTCACGTGCATCTCCCCTCACACAAGCCAAAGAGAACCACAGCTGCTCCTGTGAGATTCACATCGATGCAGGATAATGACATAACTAGACCCTCCAAAAAGAGACCATCTAGGAATTTCTGATCCTCATGAATCCACAACCAAGAATTAAGAGTTGATGGATTGACAGCTTATGGAACATGTAGATTTTTCCCATCTTATTTACCAGTTGGTAAGTTCCACCTTCACCACCAAAGTGAACAGAAATTAAACATTTTAATGATTATTTTCATTAGCTTTTTTTTTTTCCAAAGGAAGCTACACTATTACCTGAAACAGTGATTTAGTACATCCTTATTTTCCATTATCGTAGGTGGCAGAGTTAATTGAACAGAGCAATTAGCCACCCATAGTGATTAATTAAAATGATTTGAAGCCAACACCGCCAACTCATGTTTGGCTTGGGGCCATGACATGGCTCACCTTGTTTGGGTCCATTATAGGATATCTTGAGCTAACAAAAATATATGGGTCTTCAAAACCAGAACGCAAACAACAAACAGAACTCTTCAAATGTTCTCTCCAAAGTAAAAATGACCAAAGCTGTGTCATTCCACATTCAGTATCAAACAGGCCGCATAGCCGGACAATCTCAAGGCAGTAGAGACATGGAGCAGAACTGGTCATACTGCTCCCCCGCTAGGAAGAGAGAGAGATCTCTGCACACAAAGGCTGATGCTCACCATGTACACACGTGATATATCACGTCAGAGGTCGCCACAGAGGCCCAAAGCCAATGACAAACAGCTTCTACCAGCCCCAATTAAGCCCAAGCCACCCCCAAACTGCTTTAAATGAGGAACAGTCAAATCTCTCTATCTCTTGCAGGGGCGGAGAATCTTGCCCCTTCACTGAATCAGCAGCCACTGAGAAGCACTTACGAGAAGCACCTGTGGGCCCATCCCTCCAGCTGAAGGCCTGAGACCCATGATGGCTGGAGCATCATCCTTGCTAATCAATGCTGAAGTGCAGTTGCTTGCCTCACTCATCCTGAAGTCCACGCCGAATGGTAGTCACTGTGCAAAGCAGTCATGGTCTGCCTCTGGGGACTGAGGAGCGGGTCTACACAGATGGGAAGGAGCCCCCACTCTTCCCTGTCCACCACCGGCTGCAGTGAACGTGCCTCTCCCCTTACTCCTCATGGGGTCTACCTTTGCAGCTAGGCTTCCTCACACACCGGCCATGGTCCTTCTCTCTCAAGGTTTGGTTTTGACTTTCACTTCATTTTTCCTCCAGCACTAGGGTCCCTTGAAAAACTGATGGAGAGGGGGAAATGCAATACTTCTCAGCATCTTTCCTAATTTCAGGCTGAGGACAAGTACAGCCTGAAATTAGGAAATTAGATCTACACAAGACAAGTCAGGTCATCAGTTTAAATTTCTCTGGCAACTTTCTGCCGAAAAATTCCTATATACACCAGCAATGTAGAAAAGGCAAGGGGAGAAGTTTAAGGGGTGGTGTCAGAGGAAAGAGAGGGAGGCTGAGAGGGGAAAGGGGATGGCAGACCTTCAATTCTGAATGACAGTCTCAGCTCGCCCCTTCAGAAAACACTCTCAAAAATCCTGCCAGATCACGGCCAGCCTGAACTCACCTTTGGTGTATTTTCCCCTCTGTTAAGTCACTCTTCTGGGTCCAGATTGGCTCCTTGTTGACCCAAATTCAAAAGCTGTAAAATGAACGAAGGAAAGATGAATGATACCTTGCAGAAATGGTGTCACAGAAGACCAGAGTGTCACTAGCGTCGTAAATAATGAAGGACTAATAAATAATACAAAGGAAAGAAAAGCCTCGCCTTATTGTCACTTCACGTTTTCCTGACATTTTGTATCCATAGTGCCAAACACAAATGGGATAAATGTTTACTGAATGGTGTTTAGCTCTGGCCTAAATAGAGAGGAAAGTATCCTAAACACCTGCTCATGCACGTTTTTTCAATTCTTTATTTTCTTCAACTTTTATGTTATGCAAATTTTTTTGTGTATTTGGAAAAATACTTCAAAATAAAATTTGTGAAGATTAGCTTTCATTGTTAAGGTACTTTTAATCTCCCCTTTCCTTTTAAACACAATTTTTCTCAGACCATGTACTAATTGCCATGCCAGAGACAAATGGTAATATCACTTTTTTTTAATCTTTTAATTGTAGATGGGCAGAATACCATTATTTATTTTTCTTTATGTGGTGCTGAGGATTGAACACAGGGCCTCACACATGCTAGGCAAGTACTCGTACTACTGAGCTACAGCCCCAGGCCAGTAATATCACTTTTATGCAATCAGATCAACACAGTGCCTTCCCTGAGAGGCAGTACCAAAATAGGAACTGTGAACTAAGGAGAAAAAGATACACACGGTACTTTAAAAATTGACATACTTTCTGCAATCTGTATACTCAGAAAAATGAGATATCCCATCTGATTCAAATGTATGATATGTCAAGGTCATTGTACTGTCATGTGTAACTAATTAAAACAAAACAAAACAAACATTAAAAAAATGACATATAGCTAGGTGTGGTGGCACATTCCTGTAATCCTAGTGACTTGGAAGGCTGAGGCAGAAGTGAGTCCAGCCTCAGCAATTTAGGGAGACACTGTCTTAATATAAAACACTTTTAGGGGCTGGGGCTGCACTCAGTGTAGAGCGCCTGCCTCGTATGTATGAGGCACTGGGTTGGATCCTCAGCACCACGTAAAAATAAATAAAGATATTGTGTCCGTCTACAACTAAAAAAATTTTTTTTAAAAACCAACACTTTCAAAAGGGCTGGGGATGCAGCTCAGTGGTAGAGTGCCCTCGGGTTCAATCCCTACTAATGCAAAAAAAAAAAAAAAAAAGACATCCAACAAATATTCGCTGTATTCCAGCCACACATTCTGCAAATAAAAATGTGATCACAGCATAGGTTCTACCATTTAGGGACAAGTAGAGATGGTCATACTTAAGTATTTTAATTAAATACTTATTCACATAGATTTACTTTTGGAAATATGTCACAAATGGCTTTATTTATTTAAATGGCTTTAAGTTGATATTTTACATTTTAAGCAATTTTTGGAAGGCAGACAACAAAAACTTCATATAAACCATCATGGTTCCCACTGCCCAGCTCAAAGAGACTGTGCCCAGCACTCACAGTCCCTGAGGACAGTTCAGTGACTTTTCAGCAGAGGGCGCCATTCAGTTCTTTAGTTCCAAATTAATTCTTCAGGACCAAAGGCCAGGTTACAGAATGTACTTGACAGAGATACATTGACCCAAGTGTGCAAAGGAACAAACTGTGTCCCCAAATAATTGCAAAAAACTATGAGATCCCCCAGAACTGAGGAAGAGGCCAAGGAATCTGATTTGTCCACCTGGCCCCTTCAATCCTGCTGCTTTCTGTTCCCTCCCTGTTCTCTGCAGGCAGAGGCAGCAGCAGCAGCAGCTCACAGCCTTGTATCAAGCCAAGGCTCCAAAACTTCTGGCAGTGTGGCCACAGGATGGCTAGGGTGTTATCACTGGGCTGGGAATCTGCAGGATCTACTCTTCCTCTAACTCCCACAAACACGTCTTCACCCCAGGGAGGGTCCAAGGGCACTTGGGTCCTCTGGGGCTCCTCTCTCTAATTCTTCTCTGCCTGGACCATCTTTTTCTAGCAGTGACTGGAGGGAAGCCTCACCCTCCTCAACACTCCACGCTGCAGCTCTCAAATGCTTTTATCTATTTCTCCAAGGATCTCAGATTTGTGGAAGACACTGAAGGGTTATTCCCTTTTCACCCTGGTGAACACAAATGGTTTAACTGCTTGAAAGTAGGGAGAGGAGGTGAGAGAATAGAGAGGAAAGTATCCTGACAACCAACTTTAAACATCCTCAGCCCTATTTTCAAGGCCAGAGCTAAAAATTAGTTCCTAATTTGTTTAATTCGTTTCACTGTCGTCCACAAATCTGGAATCATTGTGGGATGAATCCAAAGTATGGATTCTCAGTCCATGTCCCAGACCTACAGAACCTCTAGGTTAAACCTAGAAGTGTGTGTGTGTGTGTGTGTGTGTGTATCAAACCCAGGGCCTTATGCAAGTTAAGCATAATCTCTACACGAGGCTATATTCCCAGTCCCCAGTTTTTTTCCCTTCTGTTCTCAGTTGTACTGGTCCTCTGACCTCCTTTTGGGTACAACTCTCTGCAAGTCATTTTCTTTTCCACATCCTGACTTCTTTGTCTTTCTTTCTTAAGTTCCCTTGCATAGAATGAAAATCTAGAGTGGAGTTCTGTATCCATCTTTTTTTTTTTTAAATATTATCTTAGTTGTAGATGAACACAATAAATTTATTTGTTTGTTTGTTTGTTTGTTTATATAGGTGCTGGCGATGGAACCCAGGGCCTGTGCATACAAGGTAAGCGCTGTACCACTGAGCCACAACCCCAGCCCCCTGTATCCATCTTAGAAAGAGAGGATAACGCAGAGGCCAAACAGGTGTTCACATGTCTCATCTACTCTTACTGGTTTTTAATCCCATTTTTCTCATCCTTTAATCTCCTTTCCATGTTCCAAGAAGAAATTCTGAGTCTAATGGACCACATAAGAGCATCCAGGTCTTCAAGCTGTGTTCAGTGCAAAAATATTTCCCAGAGACCTAAATACTGCTTGATTCTTAGGGAAAATCATTAGCATATAGAAGCCTCCTAGTTTTTCAAGGTTCAGAGATACTTCTAGAAGAAAGGGTCTATGTAACTAATAAATATCCCAAAGTAGACAAATTACAAAGTGAAATCTCTATAGATGGCTTGCACTGATTTGTTTAATTTCTTGTTAATTTATTTGGAGAGAACAGCTTACCCTTTTTTAAATGGAAGCTGGCTAGGTAGGACATATTAGGCTGGCAATATCATTGACCTATTTGATTCCAGAAGGAGGTTAGGAGTGCTGAGCTAAATTGGAACTCCTAAAAAGGATTAAGTCCTAGAGAAAGATGATGGCATCACACACTGACTGAAAATCATTCACAAGCAACGATTGGGAAGACTCACCCCCTGGGATGGTTGTTGATATTGATCAAAGTCAGCTATGTTTATTGACTTAACTCAACAAAAAAGTCACATATTGTTACTATGACATCAGAATCCTACTCCATGTTCAATAACAATGGCCAGGGTGTAAATCATGAGGGGGATAGGCAGGCCCAGCAGCAGGCAGAGAAGGGAACTTCTTGGCACTGAGCAGATTACCAGAATTACTTTCCTTATTCCAAGAGCCCTCACACTCCAGGCGTAAGTTATTAATATCTTTTCCCTTAAAGTTGACTAAGCATCAGTACCTGATTGACCAGGAAGTATCAACTGCCTGCAGAGCACTCTACTAAATGTCATAAAGAAAGAAAATCATTCTTCTGAAGAGAATGTCCTTTTTATCCCCGCTGAACATTTGGTACAGAGATGGGGTTAGTTAGGGACCAAAGAAATCAGACTTCATGCACGTGTCAAAAGGAACCTTCAAGTTCTCCTAGGCTGGTGCCACCATTGATCGGTGAGTTATTTCTCCAACTTCGCCTACAGGTGCCCATTCTGTTTAGGGTTTATTCTATCTGGAAATGGAGATCCATGCTTTCTGGGGTGGACAGTGGTCTCTGCCGGGGACAGCTGTTTTTCTGAGTGGGAGTCAGGACGGGGAGGGTCACATGGGAAAACTCAGGCTGCTCCTTGGTGAGCTCTGGAGCCCTGGAGTCTCAGCCTCCATGAACCTGAACCTCACGAAGGCTTCCTCCACAAGTCTTGCACCTCTGGCTGAAAAGCTGCTATTCCCTCAGACTTGTGTTGGTTTAGGCATCTCTACTTTAAACAAAAGCCCTTGTTCATTGGAGTGGTTCGTCCATTTGGGATTTTATTTCCATTTTGTTATTCATTTGTTCATTTAATAAACTTGTATTGAGCCATTATTGTCTCTCATTGTAGGAAATTGAGGGCCCGAGAGCTCAGGCTGTATACTCAGCCACAATCAATGACTTAGTGAAGAATGGACATCTCCTGACTCAAAATTCCAGTGTATTTTTACACCATTTGGGGAATGATGTTATTTTGTTATCACAGAGTAATTTTTAAAAATCATATTATTTATTAATGTACATCTCATTTCTCTCTCACTAGTGGCAACAAGAAATGGATAGCACCAGGATGATAGGGTGTGGAGAGGACACAGAAGGGACATGCACTGAGATTGTACAGCATGCCAGGCCGAGCACCAGACCCTCTCCATGTAGCACCCCACTTAATTTTCATAACCATCCTGTGACAAATGGAATATGGTTTCCATTTTACAGATGAGGAAATTGAGGCTCAGAGATGTTAAATAACTTGCCCAAGGTCATCTAGCTGTCCAATGTCAGAGTGGGGGTGTGTGTCTGTTCTTCTTTGTTTTGGTTTGGTTATGGGAATTGATAGAGATGGGAATTGATAGAGATGGGTATTGAACCCTGTTCTTTCTGACTCAAAAGCCAATAAACTATATTGCTTCCCATGCTCCAAGCAAAAGTAACTGAGCATCTAAATGCCATTTAATTCCAATGATCTCTGTGCTGATTTTCATGCACTTCAAGGAATAGCCTTTATATTGTTCATTGATCTCATTGATCTTGAGATCCTAACAGTCTGTGTAAAAAAAAAAAAAATTTAAATCCTCCTTCAAGTAACGCATGTATTATTACCTAGTTATGTTACTGAAGAGAAGTGAACAAAAAGTGGGACAGAAGAGATTACTAGATTTTCTCTGATCTCTGACCTTCTGGTACATCTGTTGTGAACTTTTTGCTATGAAAACTGATTTTAATTTAGTCCCTGCAAGCCTCTGTCATAGATCTCTACAGAGGGTCACCTACACTTGGAGTCCTCTTCCTCTTCTATATGATGGTGCTTCACGTTGTTTGCATTGGCTGTCAATCTTTCTAGTCATAGCATAGTTGGATCTGTGGCTTCTGATTAAAGCTGGCAGATTAGTCACATGGTTTGTAACTTCTCCCTCTCTAAACTCATCATGTGTGACAGTAAATGAATTAATAAAATCATTAAACTACCAGGGAGAAAGAACAGATGACCCCCATGGAAAAAAGATTTTATTACAACTTGGGGAGAGAGAAACTCATTTAGCAGGGCAGGGGAAATGACAGCTGAAGGACCAGCCGTAGGCTGGCCTCAAGGAGGCTCTTGGTTCGACCGACCCTTGGCTGAACACAAGATGGGTGCAGTGTCTGGGGCACACCGCTGACTGCCCGCTCTTCTTTCCCACCCAGAGCAGCTAGGAAAGGGAGTTTGTCTCCCACCCCATAAGAGCCTAGGGGTGCATTCTCCAGGGACTTGAGAATCCAGAGGAAGAGGCTTAGTTGAATGTATTCACTTAGCACAGCGAGCGACCGAGATGGGAATACCTTCAAACTGGACGTGGGGTTGGACCCAGCCCCTTCCCCCACCTATGCCTAGAACATCACGAAGCCTAAGTTAAGTACTTCCCCTGCCCTCGTGCTACCTGGAGAGTCCTTGTGGAGGAAAAAGAAAAATCTTGTTTAAGAAAAAAAAAAAGATAATTTTAGCCTATTTAGATGTATTCTGAATATGGATTTATTCGGATTTGTTTTTACCTTTTCATCTTGTTTGCTGCCTTTTTAAAAGAAATTTCCATCTGCTTTTCCCACTTCATTCTTCCTCTTAATAGATTGCTGGTTGTGTTACCTTGCTCTCCCCCAGTCCTTGGTTTGGAAGTAACTTTCTTTCTTTTTGAGAGATCACTTTGTCACTTTCACATGAGCTGGATCAGCACCCTACTTTGGGTACAACCAGAGAAGTAAAAAATTGTGCTCCATTTGTGTACAAGGAATCCAAGAGCATTCTGCTGTCATGTATAACCGATTAGAACAAATTGATTAGTTAAAATAAAATGGATCAGCATCTCCATCCTCCCCCAAAGCAACACAGATATTCTGGAATGCTTCCACTCCAGTCCCTCCTCCCTTACTATTGACTCTGTTGACCATATTTGAGTCCCACTTCCATTTTATTGCTCCCACACAGGTTTTATTTTGCTGATGCTCATTTAGATTTATCCACATATTGACTGATTTCTTTCCTCACCATTCATGCCTTTATCTTCCTTCTGGACTTCTTTTCTCCCCCCACTTTCTGGACACTGAACCCAGAGCCTCATGCATGCTGGGCATGTGCTGTACCACTGTACTATATCTGCAGCCCTTTATAAATTTTGATTCAGAGTCTCACAGAGTTACCCAGGCTGACCTAGAACTTATGATCCTCCAGCCTCGGCCTCCTATGTGGCTAGGATGAGGTGTACTCGGCTTTTCATTTCCTTCTTTAAGTATTACCTTAAATAGTTCTTTTAGTGGGATTGTCTGCAGGTAGTCAATTCTTTCAGTCTTGGGCTAAAATGTTATTATTTGTTCTTATTCTTGAATCAGTCTCTCTCTCTCTCTCTCTCTCTCTCTCTTAGCTATTGATGAACCTTTATTTTATTCATTCATTTACCATGCGGTGCTGAGAATTGAACCCAATATCTCACACGTGCTAGGCAAGCACTCTACCACTGAGCCACAGCCTCAGCCCTCATTCTTGAATCTTTAAGTAACTGGCAACTAAATAAGTTGACAATTTCAGAATTTTGAAACTATTCCATTGTCTTATGAATTCTATTGGTATAATTTTTTTTTCTTTTTTGTGTTGCTATGGATTAAACCCAGGACCTCATACATGCAAGGCAAGCACTTTACCTACTGAGCTATGTCCCCAGATTTCTATTGGTGTGTTTGATGTTTGAGAAGGTCACTGTTAATCTAATTGTGATTAATTTATAGCTAATAATTGTTTTCTTTAAATATTTTTTGGGGGGATGGGTACTGGGGATTCAACTCAGGGGCACTCCACCACTGTACCACATCCCCAGCCCTATTTTGTATTTTTTTTAGAGACAGAGTCTCACTGAGTTGCTTAGCGCCTCACTTTTTGCTGAGGCTGGCTTTGAACTCTCGATCCTCCTGCCTTAGCCTCCCAAGCCACTGGGAGGGATTACAGGCATGTACCATGGCATTTGGCTCTCTGAATACTTTTAAAAAATTTTTATCCTTGGAGTTTGGCAATTTCATGTCATATGTTTAATTGTTGACTTTTTAGTTTTTCTCTTGATGGAGTTATTGTACTTCCTGAATCTGAGAACTCATGCTTTTCACCAGTTCTGGAAAATTTTCACAATGACACCTCTGCTTTCCTATGCCTCTTTCCTTTGATGCTCGTATTAGATGTATATTTGGTCTTGTCATGCTATCCTTCACGTTGGTTCACCTCTTTCCTGCACTTTCCATCTCTGTCTCACAATGCAATATTTTGAGTACTTTCTTTAAATCTCTTCTGTACTTTCTTCCGTGGAGTATTTTCTGTTGCTCACACATCCACTGAGTTTTTAATTTGAATGAATTTGATTTTCATTTCCACAAATTCTTGGATCTTTTCCCAACCTGCCTGTTCTCATTGCTTTGGTGATATCTGAAAGCCAGGCAACCCTATGAAGGAAGGTGTGTCATTCACACTAAGAGTGGAGAACCACAGGGTACCATAATTGGTAGCAGGAAAGAGATCTCTGTTTCATATGAACACATATCCCATTGCCTGGTTGTTTATTCAGTATAAGGGATTTCACACGCATTGTCCCATAATAATTTCAACAACCCATGAGGTGAATACTGCTGCCTATCCCACTTTGTAGTGGGAAAACTGAGCTTTAGGCTTAGGATTAGTCAAGATCAGAAAGGCTAGGTGGCAGAGCTGGATTCAAACCCAGGAAGAGTATTTTCAGAATGTGTTAGTCTCAAAAATCTTGTCAAAAGAACTTCATAGTGGATGACACAATTATATTTGATTCTCAGTCTTGAATTTTCACCAGAAAACAGAAAATGAGGGGCTGTAGCTGGAGCTCAGTGGTAGAGCACTACCTCGCATGTGTGAGGCACTGGGTTCAATCCTCAGCACCACATAAAAATAAGTAAAGACATAGAAAAAAGAAAAAAAAAAAAAAGAAAACAGAAAATGGTAGGCAGTGAAATTCCTTTCTCCCAGTCAGCTCAGATCCATCACCATCTGTATTTCCTTCATCCAGTGATTTCCGGCCCGAAGGAAATGAATCACAGGGGTTGAATGAAGGTTGGGCGCCCCTCATACAGATTGGTGGATAGGCAAGACCTATTGAGAGAACAAGCTTCTGCCTTTGGGAACTTCATGGTGACTTCCTTCCAAAGAATATAGAAAGAGGAAAGATGTAGCTTGATGGTGGAGAAACCAAACAGCATTCAGGTGATGGAAATCAACAGTGAGATCACCTTGGTAGCATGTATCGCAATGTGATGAAAATGGCATGTCACCTCTGCAATCTTCCTCTTAAAACCCACGAACTCCAGTCTAATCTTGAGAAAAACAAAAGCAAATCTAGTAGAGGCTCCTACATTACACTACTCAAAACTGCCCAAGACATCAAAAGCAAGTGAAGGTGCTGGCGTAGCCCAGGAGATAAGAAGGTGTAGCAAAGTGACGTATAGTGGCTCATGTCTGTCACCCTGGCCACTTGGAAGGGTGAGGCAGGAGGATCAAAATTTCAAGGCCAGCCTCAGCAACTTAGTGGGACCCTGTCTCAAAATAAAAAAATAAAAAAGGGATGCAGTTCAGTGGTTAAGCACCCCTGGATTTCATCCTTGATGCAAAAGCAAAACAAAACAAAAAGAACAAACAAAAAAACAGTACAACAAAATATAACATAATATCCTGAATGGGATCCTGAAACAGAAAAGGGAATTAGGTAACTGAAGAAATCCAAACCAACTATTAAGTTCAATCATATATGTGTGTATGTATAGGTATCATGTCTTTTTGTTGTTTGGAGGGTCCTGGGGATTGAAACCAGGGGTGCTTAATCATTGACCACCTTCCTAGCCACATCAGTGTCTTGCTGAGTTGCTTAGGGCCTGGCTGAGTTGCTGAGGCTGGCCACCAACTTGGTGATCCTCCCACCTGAGTTTCACAAGTCACTGGGATTACAGCCACATATCACTGTCCTGGCTAAATCATGTTTTTAATGGAAAGGAGAGGAATGGAGCACTTGGAGAGTATTCTGTAAACATCAACACTACTGTAAAGCCGGTCCATACTCCTGGATTCTTGTTAGGAAAAAGCCTTAGGTCTTCCAGGTCAAGTTCTGGGTCTGATGTACAGCTCTCCCCACATAGCTCACCCCTTTAGCAGGCTTCTGGAAACCCACTACGTATCCAGCCCTGCACTATGCAGTTGGAGTTCAGGGTTGGAAAATACCATAGCCTTGCTCTGTGAGGGAGGAAACCAGAAAAAAAAATGCCATTATTTCATTATATCACGTCCAGTGGTATAAACCAGAGCTATAGCACACCGTGACCATGAGCAAGAGCAGGAGCCATCCTGGTCTAAGGGATCAAGGAAAGGCTTCTCTAAGGAATTTGTCTTTGGTGGAAGTTTTATTCCTAAAGTCATCGTTACTATTACTTGTCTTCATAAGTAAGGATGTGCTTGGATTTCCTGCATTGAACAAAGCCATCAAATATATTTATGTACTTGTGCCTCTAATGAAGCAGATCCAAAAAGAATCAGATGAGAAAATACAACTATAAGTAAAAGCAAAATTTATAGTGTCTGATCATTTGCTTCCACCAGGAATACTTTAGCAGTCTGATCATTGACAATCTCATATATTCAAATAATCCTCACATTTTCCCTTTTATTGCTATCTCCTTTGCTGTCCATGGGATGCAGCTTTCCTTGTTACATTCCTCTTCATGAATGAGAGCATTACATCAGGAATTGGATTCCTGTGTTCACTTAAGGTTCCAGTTAGCTTTGCTTTGAGCCCTGGCTTCTGCTGTACAACTTCTAACTAGTTGTGGTGGTTTTGAAGCATGTCTAAAATCTGTTTATAGTTCTCTTCTCAAATAGAAGAGCGTAGCTGGGCCCAGTGGTGCATGTCTATAATCCCAGCAGCCTGGGAAGCTGAGGTAGGAGGATCACAAGTTTGAGGCCAGCCTCAGCAACTTAGTGAGGCCCTAAGCAAATCAGCAAGACCATGTCTCAAAATAAAAATAAAAAGGACTGGGGGTGTGGCTCAGTGGTAAAGCACCCCTGGGTTCAATCCTGGTAACAAAAAAAAAAAAGGGCGGGGGGGGGAAGCCTGATCATCCTTCACTTCTTAGTATCCCACTTCAAAAGAATATAGCGTGGTAGAAGTTGGCTTCTGAGCCCAAGTCAGGAGAGGCGCTATGGCTTCTGTCTTCTCTCTTGAACCACTGACCTCAGGGAAGCCCATAGCTATGCTGTGAGGACATGCAAGCAGTATAGAGAGGTCTACACTGCAAGGAAGAAGCACCAGCTTCCTGAAGAGTGGATCCCCCAGTCCATCAAGCCAGGGCTGTAGGTGACTGGAAACGCCTAAGAGAGTAGAGCCAGAACTATTCAGACCTGCCCAAGCCCGAATTTGAGACCCATAGCAATTGTGTGAGATGATGAATGTTGTTTTAAGCTGCCAAGGGTAAGCGTAATCTATTATGTGTGTCAGATAACTGCCCTTCTTACAAATACATGCCACTATATATGTAAGGACTAGCTTGAAAAACGTAGGCATGCTGACATCCTCCACCATCATCAAAATCACCCTGAGTGCCTGTGGTACGAAGGAAGACCTTATGTTCTCATTCTCAGTAAAATGCTCTCTTGTTGGCAGCGGCTGCACCTAAGTATTTTAACTCTAGTGTTTGGAGGAGGCTTGTTTTATTTGTGGTTAACCACACACTAGGTAGATTATGCTGATTCAACAAGGGCGATTAATCAATCACACAGAGCTGTGGCTTTTTGTTCAAAAGTGTTTTTCTTGACAAAAACTCTTAGGAAAATTGATCTACTGTGCTGTGATAGCCCCAAAACTTCCTGCTGGATTAGGAAAAGACAAACTAATAAAGAAACTTAAGGACATCTCCATGATTTGACTCACGCAGACATTTAGGAGATGAAGGCCCCAAGTAACTGCTTACAGCTGTTATAAACACCAATTTTAAAAACTACATAGTTCAAAGCATTTTAGATATTATGAAAGGGTCAAGTTGGCTCAGATTTTGCTAGTCTTCTTCCAGAGACTCCAATTTCAACACTTACCTGTTTCTTTGTACCATCTTCATTGTCCTACAATGCTTACCTGTTTCTTTGTACATGATTCACTGTTCAGATACAGGGTTTAAGACACCCCGTGCATCTTCTTGAGCTAGTCTTCTCAGTGTGAGAGCAGTGTGCAGGCACCGGGGGCCTCCCAGACGGGAAACAGAATACAGAGGCGGGTGCATGTCCCAGAATGTTGGAAAGAGAAAAACCAAGGTGTTTCATTTCAGCTTTATGCATGCACTGTGTGTCCAGGAAACAAGGAGCAAATCGATACTTCTCTCTTCCTCCCCTCTGGGATTAAAGACAAACTGGGCTGGGCACAGTGGCACACACCTGGAATCCCAGCACCTGAGGCAGGAGGACTGTGGGTTCAAAGCCAGCCTCAGCAACTTAACAAGGTTCCAAGCAAGTTAGTGAGACCTTGTTTCAAAATAAAATATAAAAAAGGGCTGGGGATGTGGCTCAGTGGGTAAGCACCCCTGGGTTCAATCCTTGGCACCAAAAAAAAGAAAAAAAAAAAGAAAGAAAGAATAAAAGACAACCTCATTACATTTAGACTTTGGGGTTTGCTTTTGCTCCCCTCAGCCCTGGCTCCTGCTCTCGGAAGGACAGAGCTCCCCTTCGGCGTCTTCTCGCCTTCCATGGGGCCATCTAGGTCCCACTGCCCCACCAGCGAGAGGCCACAGATCCCTCCCGGATGTCTGGTGGGAAGCCGCTGGCCTTGGAGCCTTTCTGCGAGGACAGAAAACCCCAGACACCTGCCACAGACCATAGACAGGCCTTCCGTTCCTGTTTTTTAACTTGGGAGGTAGGCTCAGGAAAACACGGGCACTGCTGTCACTGTAGGAGATCAAGGCTGAGTACGGAAAGCTTTCGACATGACTGGGCCAGCAGCATGCTTTTCTGTTAGCTGTTGGTCCAGAAAGAAGAGGGCAAAAAATCTTCATCAATTCCACTTTCCTCCAAGACTCTCATTATGTAACCAGAAAGCTTTACTTTTTAAAATAAAGCTTAATCATGTAATTAGTTGTCTCCCTTTCCAGCGTAGTTCCAAGGCTTGACTATTGTAACTTAAATTGGCTGGGGCGGTATAATTTAGTAGAAGATACTGTGTTGCCCTTACCTAACCCTAAAGGTATTTTTGTAAAGTTTTCCTACCATAAGTCAGTGCCATAGAGACACAAGCTATATTTCTGTTATGAGAAAATGTGTCCAAATGACCGTACACAAATATGACGACACTGGTAACACTGGACTTAGGAAATTAACTGTTCAACACATGCCTGTACTGATATATTCAATAGACTGTGTCCCCAAACCAATTCGTTCTCTTATAATCATAACAAGTGACAATGCCAATGTCCCAAGTACCACTGATCTCACACCAGCAAGGGGAATGTTAATTTGTTCTTGTTGTTTTGGTACCAGGGATTGGGCGCAGAGGCGCTTTACCACTAAGCCACATTTCCAGTTGCTTACGGCCTGGCTAAATTGCTGAGACTGGTCTAGAACTTGAAATCCTCCTACCTCAGCCTCCTGAGTCGCAGGTATTTATAGGTGTGCACCAGTAAGCCTGGCAGATTTGTTCATTTTTGTCTTGAACAGTATTTCCAGTTTCTACCATTGGCTTAACTGTTAAATAGTTGAGTTTCTCTCTTGCTGAATCTAGACTATAAAATTTGAGTAAGTTCTGAGTTTTTTCTCCCCCTCTCTATTTCCTCCTAGAAGTCTCTATAAAGCACTGTATAGATCTAACTCTTGGTGACTTCAGAAAGGCTCTTGTGAACAGCTGAGATTTTCCTGAAAACATTCTGTAATAATATCGTTTTTAACAAAACTCTCATAGTAAGCCATCTTTAGCCACCATTTCCAAGTGTGTGTGTGTGTGGGCGAGGGGGCACTGCTACTTGCTGTGAGGGTTTGCCTAGGCATTGCTGAGCATGGTAACCCACGTCCTACCCACTCCAGAACTCCCCTCCCCCCCACACCAGAGTGCTGGTCAGCCAGGGAGTTGTGACACCTCCTGCCCTCTGAAGCTGCCCAGCCCTCCATCCAAGTACGTCACCAAGCAGCACAGAGGGAGGCTGAGGGAAGTGTGGGCTGCCTCCCGGCTTTGCCAGGACTCCATCACCAAGTCCTGGGTCAGCTTTCTATTTGTCAGACCCTTAAAGACAACAGCGGCTGTGATTACTCTCAGATTAAATGATAATAGATATCCAATGCTGGAGCAGTGACCAGCCTTCAGTAACCCCCACAAATGTGACACTGTTCACTGCTCCAGTGACATACATATATGCAAATACGTAAAGTGGATCAGAAACGAAGGGCAGGATTATGAAAGACCAACAACAGACGTTTTAAAATCTGAATTAGACAGTTTGTATTCTAAAACACACACAACAAATCTGTACCAATTAAATACAATAAAGTCGAAAGGGGATATAAATTACAGTTTTTCTTCCTTTAAAACAGACAATAGTAAAATACTACAGTCAGCTCACTATACACAAAAATCATGAACAGCAGCTTTTCAATAAAGTCTCCAATGTCTCCTCATTTCCCAATGCTACGAACTTGAAGGAGAAAGGTAGAGCGGGATGCGCACGGTCTCACGCCTCCTTTCACCACCCGTAGACAGCTGGGCAGCCGGACCAGCGGTGCAGGCGTCTCCGGCACAGGGACGTAGGCTACTCCTGTAAAACTCCACACACATATTGTACAACATCTCCATTTGCAGGAGAATTTTACAAGTGAAGACACGACAGCAGGGTCGTCCGTATTCAGCCGTCTCCTGCAGACACGGTGTCACGTGAACCGGTGAAATTCATATATAGCTCAGTCCGCCTCTTCAGCATTTTTCAGAATCAAACAAAACAGCAGCAGCAAAACCACACCACAATGAAATCTACCAATCCCCGACCAACCCGCAAAACCCCACATCAGCACCCTTCCCCAGCCCCCACCCCAACTCGCAGTCCGCCCTTTGTTGGCTGACATTAACACTGCTCTCTGCATCCCACCTGTCTGGCTGGCCCCACCACTGGACACCACCGGTCACTGTGTAGGAAGCTGGGCTGGAGCCAGGCCCCAGGCCTTGTCAAGGTTATCATACAATGTCAGGTCAGCAGGTGTCAGGCCGGTGGAAGACCAAAGAATACAGCTGTGAGATTCCTCAGTGTGCTTGTGAAACAGAGGACAGAGAAGGGCAGCACGGTGGCTTGGTAGCCAAGGGAAATATGGCACCAAACTTGCAGTCAAACGTATACGCTCACACAAAACAAGAGGGGACAGCAAAGACGTGCTGTCCCGTGTAGGTTCTTTGGTTATAAAGAACAGCAATCTGCAACCTTTTCTGTAAAGAGGGATTTGCAACCTCTTTCTTAGGCAATAAAATCTTTTTCATCTGCTCATGGAGAAGCGATGGCCCGAGTTGCTTTGTAACAAAGTCCAGTACCTTTCGATTTTCTACACGTCACCTGGATCTGCCTTTTACTGTGCAGCCTTGTCTGTCTCTGAACAGACATACTATAGATACACATTTCATATACATAATATATATTATTTATAAAACAAAACACATTAGAGCTTGACTCCAGATTCTACCTTAAGAACTGATTAAAACTGTACAAGAATACAGTTTGTTTGACTCTGTAGAGGTTCTACACAGTGGGATGTGTAGGAAGTGCAAACAAAAATACTGTCACTTAGTTATTCCAGGAGTTCAGTTCTCTTGCTCTCTGGAGAAAGCAGAGGCGAGGATTCACCCGAGGGACAAAGTGCTGATTCTCCTGCTGGGGAGGGGAAAGCATGAGGGTCCCCACGCTGGTCTGAGGTCGGCAGCGCTGCAGCGGGTCTTAAGATGGGCTGGTGCTTTCCATGGCCACCAGGTGAGCAGAGCTGCCGAGCTGGGGCCAGCAGAGGATGCGCTGGCTGCCTCTCACCGTGCAGCCCCGGTGCCCTGGAATGCAGAGGCTGGTGAGTCCAGGCTCCTTGTCCCCACCTGTCTACCTCCCCACAGGGCCCACCTGTAAGGGATTTTAAATTTGGGTTTTTTTTTTTTTTTTTTTTTTGTAGTTGTTGATGGACATCATGCCTTTGTTTTGTTTATTTTTATGTGGTGCTAAGGATCCAACCCAGTGCCTCACACATGCTAGGTAAGCGCTCTGCCACTGAGCTACAACCCCAGCCCTGGGTTGGGTTTCTTATGGAACCCATTTCTGGAATTCACACCATGCAAGGCAGAAGCCAAACCTTGAGGTAAAACCTCAAGGCAAAGCAAAGGCAGCAAAAAAATTAAAATCTAAAAGAGTTGTCTCTGATCCACGTTCTAAGTCATTTCGGGGTTAGAAATGAAGTAGAATTTTAACACAGAAAAAGTTCTCAAATAGACACTAAAACTTCCTAAACAACTTATTGAAACCAACATGGGCTGGAGGTGCAGCAGTGGTACAGCGCTTGCTCAGCGCCCCACCCAGAGGCCCTGCGTTTAATCTTCACCCCTGCAAACAACAGCCAGACAGCCGAGAGACCTACCAAGCACTAAGGCAATGCCTAGGGGAGAAGAATCTCCATCCTCCCATTATTCGGAGGCAACAAACATTTCTGTAGATTCAACTTTTTTTTTCTTTTTCTTTTCAAAGAAAGGGAATGGAATCCAGGGCCTTGCACACACCAAGCAAGCATTCTGCCACTTGCTATTCTGGGACCTTTCGTGAGACCTTTCCTGCTTGTCAGGTTCTAAATAATCTAGGCAACAAGCCCTTGAGGGGGCTGTAGGCCCCTCCCTTCTGCTTTAGGGCCACACTGCTCACCGTGCAGACCTTAGACACCTGACCGCCTCTCACCTTACCAGCTTTACCACACGGAAGCAAAGTCTTGGTACTGAGGGACTCCTGGGATTTGAAAGGCTCTGACCTGGCCTTCTGAATGCAAAGGGGAAGCAGGTCATCCATGCTGATCCCGCTTCAAGGTCAGTTTGCAGGAAGTGGAGGATTTTTCAACAAATGCTCAGTTTGGTGGCAAGAACAGATACCAGCAAGGAGGGACTCTGTTCTCTTGGAGCTGGGGATGGAACCAGGGCCCCATGCATGTTAAGCGCCCACTCCACCACTGGGCCATAGCCCCTATTATCATATGGGGGAAAGAAGCCTTTTTCTTATTGCAAAAGGTCACTTTCGCAGTTTATTTATGGGTAAATGACTGCACTCTGAAATGCAAAGGGCTGGTACAGAAAGCAGGGGGAAGACTGGGGAGAAGAGCCGCCTCGTTGGAATGGCACCTTCTCCCCAGGCTTCTGAGGGTGTGAGTGACTCTGTGTACCGCCAGGGCTCCTTCTTAGCTCACAGGGGTATGGGGCCAAAAATGTTATGAGAATAAACCTGGCGTGGTGGCACATGCCTATAATCCCAGCAATTTGGGAGACTAAAACGGGAGGATCATAGTTTGAGATGAGCCTCAGCAACTTAGCAAGATCTTTTCTCAAACTAAAAAAATAAAAAGGGCTGGGATGTAGCTCAGTGGTCAAGCACCCCTGAGTTCAATCCCCAGTGGCCCCCTACCAAAAGTTACATGAATGGGAGGAAGTGGTGGTACTTGGGAATACAACACTTACAGGCTGATGATCTCTTGTTTATGTAATTTGTTATGTTTTCCTTAGCAAATATCTATTTTGTTCCACCCAAACTTTAATTGCTCAGGAAGTCTGCCTTATTTCCCCATGAAGCACAGTCCCGTAAGGGTACCAGATTACTGTACTTTATCAACTCTTCACCACCTATGTTTCCCCCTCCACTATGACATGTCTAAAATTGGGGTGTGTCTTGCAATTGCTGATAGTTATTTCTTTTTTTGTGATGCTGGAGATGGAAATAGGCATGTTAAATAGGCATCTTCAACTTAACTACATCCCTTGCCCTTTTCATTTTAGTTTGAGACAGGCTGGCCTCAAACTTGTGATTCCCCAAGTAGCAGGGATTACAGGTATGCACCTTGGCACCTGGCTGTTTATTTTTCTTTCTTTCTTTCTTTTTTTGATATCGGGGATTGAACCCAGGAGTATTTAACCACTGAGCCACATCTGCAGCCTTTTAAAATATTTTATTTAGAGACTGAGTTGCTAAGTGCTGAGTTGTTTTGCTCAAACTAAAATTCAGTCTTGCTGAGTTGCTAAGTGCCCCATTAAGTTACTGAGGCTGGATTTGAACTTGCGATCCTCCTGCCTCAGCCTCCCAAGCTGCTGGGATTATAGGTAAGTGCCACCGCACCTGGCTGTTTTCCCTTCTTAATGACATATAAAATAATAGATCATATAATAATCAAAGGAATCATAGATTCGATGAAATAGGATAGATGCTACCAGATAACTTTGAAGAGCCAATAGCTAAACATCTCAGGGAAAGAATATGAGGTGAATTGATCCTTATCCACCTGGGTGCTCAATTCAACACCAACCCATACGCTAGTAAAATAGAATAAAATAAAATAAAATCCCACTGGTCCTATGTATCTCATGGTTTCACTCTGGTTCCCAAAGCCAACCTGCTCTGACACACAGAGTGAGCAGGACAGGTTGAGAGGCTGCTCCCCGGTGGGCCCTTCCCTGTTGGAAATATCAGGATGACTCTTTCCCACCCTGTCCCTGCAATGAAGGGCCTCTGGAGCTCTGTGTACAATCTATGTAATATCCGCCCTGCTCACCCTAGCACAGGACCCAAAAGGCTGCCTCTGGAATATATTACCTGGTCATTCTCTAACTTGGAATTCGGCTGGCCAGTATCCCGTGGCCCCTCTGGGACACTCTTACTGTCTGTTTTATTTGGTAGGTTCCTCCTGTTGGAGGCCTCTGCAGCAGAAGAATGTGTCAAACCGTCAAAGTCTCTTCCATCGGACGCACCCATGAACTCTGTGAAAGAATGATCCTCGAGGATGTTTGTGGTGTGTTCAACTGTCACCTCCCTTGGGCAGAATTCCTTGGCTGCTTGGCCGTTTTTGCTGGGACAGGCATCAGGCTCTGACCATGAACCAGTCCTACACAGCAGTCTGGAGCTTTTCTCGGGGGCGCTCGCTTTGGCTAAGGCACTGTGTTCCTTGAGTGGCACCATGTTCGTCTTCTCCTTTCCCAAGCCTCCTTCTCCTTCTGGCAACTCTCTGTTTGAGGGTAGTCTGGAATCGTGCCCAAGTGACAGTCCGGAATGTTCACTGGAGTCTGGATCCTTGGTCTGAACGGCTAGCTGGTCTGAGCTGTCACTAGTAGGGACCACCATGTCCGACAGGGTGGCATTGGAGGCACTGTGGGAGAAGTAGCCACTGGTAATACTGCTGGTGGTAGGGCTATGAGACACCTCTTTCTCCAAGACCCGTGAGTTTGTCAGATCTCCTTTAGAAGAAAACCATTCCCGGTTCTCCAAGCTGGCATTGTAAACACTGAAGTCGGCAAACTCCACAGGGACGTAAGGCTGGGAGTTCATCAGCTGTCTGCTCATAGCTTCCAGCTCGTTCTCCTCCTCCTCGGAGTCCTGCAGAAACGAGAGTCAGCAGCTCACCCCGCAGCTCTGCAGCATCAAGACAAGCTTAGCACTACTAAAGGCCCCCTGTCCCATTTTCAGTTCTGTTTTATTTTATATTTTCTTCCTTCTTTCCAAGTGGGTCAAATCTTGTCACTTATTGTACACAAAAGTATATTATTCTCAGAGACCTATGAACCCATGATCACTTAGTAGGAAGCCATTTATTTTTTTCCTACTCACCCAATGCTACTTAGAGATCTTTCCTTCCCTGGATTAAGGGATGGGACCGAGGGCAGTGGACCTTTAATTAGTTACACGTGATTAATAGCAGATGTGATGTTTCCTCTTTTTCTCATTAAACCAGCAGAGGGAAAGCCAGAGGGAAAAGCTGCTCCTTCCTTGGGCCTTAGAATCTTACCTTGAGAAGCCAGGTACAGGTGGCTCAAGTCATTTGTGAAAATCTGAGCTATTTTATAGGGAGAGAGGGCAGTAAAATAGAGACCCCCCAAGAGCAAAAACATGCAGTATTCCACTAAATAGTATAATATCCACTATATAGTATAATATTCTAGAATACGAACAATCAATTACAGTTTTCTAGGATCACTGAGAAGCCCAGATGGAGGATTGGGCTAGAAAACAAGGAGGATAGATACTGAGGTTTAGATGAAAATCTCCTTCATTAAGTAGTTTTAATGAAGATTTGTTTTGCAAATATGGAAAAGTGGGTGTTATCATCTCCCCAGACTCTCTCCAGATGAATGACTTTTAATTTTTGGATGGTGCTGGGGATGAAACCCAGGGCCTCACACATGGGAAATATACTCCCAAGACATAAATGCATAATTTCATAAATGCATAATTTGATAGATAGAAAATGTTGTAAAACACATTCTAATTTCATATTCAAATGAAATAATATATTATCTAGTCCTTTTTGATTAACCTCATAAGCAACTGATGACACTACAAATAGTGCTTTCAAAAAGTTATTTTCATTCAAGAAATATTCATTGAGCACCCACTATGTGCCCGTCATTGTCCTGAGGATTTGGGAGCACCAATGGTGTTCCCTCCTCCAGAGAGCAATGACTTTGGTCCTTGCCCTTGGAACAATCCTGAACTCTGCTTGGATGAATGAAAATTTCATTCAAAATAGAACTTATAAACCTTAAAAATAGGTAGCTTTTTTACATTGGTCATCTGGTTTAACAAGATATTTTATTTTTTTAAATATATTTTTTAGTTGTATACGGACACAATGCCTTTATTTATTTATTTTTTTATGTAGTGCTGAGGCTTGAACCCAGTGCCTCATATGTGCTAGGCAAGCACTCTACCATTAAGCTACAACTCTAGCCCTAATAAGAGATTTTAAATGTCTGTCTGCCAGGTGTGGTGGCACAAATTTATAATTCCAGTGACTCAGGAGGCTGAGGAAGGATTGTAAGTTCAAGGCCAGCCTCAACCACTTACGGAGACCTTGAGCAACCTGGTGAGACCCTGTCTCAAAAACCAAAGAGAACTGGGAATGTGGCTCAGTGGTATAATGAACCTGGGTTCAATCCCCAGTAATAAAAAAGAAAAAAAAAAAAAAAAACAAAGAAATCTCTGTTATAACAACAAGGTGACTGTAAAAACCTACAACCAAATATCAGCTTTAATCATTAAGGTTGCATTTTAAGAGAGAGCTCAAAAGAGAGACAGAGGCAGAGAAAAAGGCTTATCTAAGAATGTGCAAGAAAGATAGATCATTGTACCGTGGCAGGTGGTTCACAAATGAACGGAAATTTCCTCTGTTGAATTTCATGGTAATATTTTCTTTTGTATCACAGAAGATGCTAGACACCTCAAAAATAGTTCAGTACTCTTCAATGCTCTTAGTTTAAAAAATAATTTAGTTTTTATTTATTCATTTTTATTTATTTTACTTTACTTTATTGCAGTGCTGGGGATTGAACCCAGGGGCTGCACACATGCTAGGCAAGTGCTCTACCACTGAACTACACCCTCACCCTTCATTTAGCTTTTAGAACAGTATTTAAAATGTATTTGAGGGTTGGGGGTGCAGCTTAGTGGTAGAGCATGTGCCTAGATGTACAAGGCCCAAAGTTTAATCTCTAGCACCAAAAAAAAAAAAAAGAAAAGAAAAGAAAAGAAAAAGAAAATGAAAAGTTTTTGACTATAAATTAGCTAAAGAAATCAGTAGCCTTAATTCCTTGGCCATTAAAAAGTAAATATCAAACAGCAGTCATAAAGTTTCTGAAATCAGCAAAACAAAAACCTTGGCAACACTAAGTTCTCAGCATCTTATCTTTAACTGTTTTCTAAGTTAAATAGCACTGGTAAAGTGTGTGGATTGGAGAATTATTTAGGGGAGAATATTGGCAAAGGATCAAAGATTGGACGGAATCGTGTGACTCAGAAGGCTCTGCCTGTATTTTTTTTTTTTTATTAGTTGCTCATGACAATACAATGATCTTGACATCTCTGCTTGTCAGGTTTAGACTCAAAATTGAATTTCAAGTGTTTGTCTCTTATACCTCCTTTAATCTCAGCTGGCACAGAAACACAATCCTCCAAGCCCTAAAGTACCTGATGCAATTAATTACTAAAAAGATTATCTCTTGCAAAGAAAAACTAATTTGTAGATGAGAATGAGTAACTTGGGGCCCGTTTTATGCCTGGAGGTTATTTCTTCTCAAGTCTAGGAAAGGCACGTTATCCTAAAATACAATTCTGCTGAATGAAATATGCAACCATGAGTTTAACAAGTAGAAATAGGTATCAATTTATCAGACTCACAAAGATGAAAATTTCTTCCTAAAGGATCTTGCATGATCTTAGTAAAACCAAAGAATCTAAAGAGATTTAAGTTCAAAGAGGAAGCAGTCTGCAGTTATATACTTAGGGAGGGAAAGGGCCCCAGTGTCCCAGAGGGACAACTAAAGGAGCAGGGACAACTTATTCCAGGAAAAGAAAGCTGAGTGGAGATTAAACACTTTCTAAACATAAAGGAGACTGAAAGGTTACGGAATTATTATCTTCAAGGAAGAAAAAAAATAAGAGGACTTCAATAGCTTAAAATGAATGTTGAGGGAATTTGGTTAAATGGACTTTTCATACCAGAAGACTCATTGTTATCATTGTATCTTACAGGAGACTACACTAAGCACCTTCCTACAGTGTCTTAAGGGCAAAAAGGATGAAAACCCTACCTAAAAGTGGAGCATGAAGTCAAGTTCTCAAGCTTCTCTATAGCTACAGTCTTCCATGATTTGATTTTTGCGATTTAACTTAGGCAGCTCATATTTACCCTATAGACAAAACACCTTGATTTTAAAAAGGGATCACAACCCACATTAAAACAGTGACTCTTTGCAACGAGTCTCACTCGATGAGTGTGACTTCCACTCCTACTGTAATCAAGCCTGTGCAGGCCTCTGGACAGTCGGCTTTCAGGATTGTATCCGCCAAGGGCTCTCAATACTTCTGTCCATGGTACTGTGGGCTGGCCGGCTGGCTATCAAACTGCACTCTGGGGAGCATGCGGAATCAATGCAGTCAGCCCAATCTTGCTGAAGGATGAGGGGTTCTTTGTCTTACACTATCATTAGCTGTAGACCTTGGGCAACTCGCTTAATAATTCTAGATCTTTGTTTCTTCTTATAAATGAAAGAAATAAACCACATCTTGTCCATACAAGGCCTCAGAGATGGGTCATATGGTTACTCTATTGCCTTTATCTTAATTTATACAAAATAGGATAAACACCTGTATATCTTCCCAAATTGATGAGATAACAAAGTGTGGCTTTAAATGTGAAGCACAGCAATATATACCACAGTTTCATTATATTTTCTGAATTACAGAAATTACTTTGGTAATTCAGTGGGTTTAAAAAACAATAACAGGAATATTGTTTTGATAGTACTTTTCAAGAATAACTGCAATTTTCCTCCATCAGTCTGAACCATGATTCACGCTCTGATTTTTCAAGAGTGGAAGAGAAAAGAAAGTGAAGTAGGATCAAAGGCAGATAAGAGGAATAAAATTAAAGTTTCCCAAAGAGAAACTAAAACCTCTGATCAAACAAGCCACATACTGAAGTTCTATCAAAATATCCTGGAAAACTACTATCTTGAAAAAACTGGGCAGTAGCCTCAAGAGATGACACTAGAGTAGCTGTCATCAGAACCTGGCAGGAAAATGGCCCCATTCGACCAGTGTGGCACACTTCAGAGTGCATTCGGTCAGAGTCTAATCGCTGCTCGAGATTTCCTGGGTCGAGAGAATCTGGTTCTGTCCCACGCTCTCCCAGCTGAATGGTTTTAAGATATTTAAAACAAAGCAAATAAAATAACTGAGGCAAGCAACAAACAGCAAAACCGCCTGTGGGGCAGTTCTAGAGGCTCATTCAACAATCACTTGATGGTATTGTACCACAGCGGAGCATCACCATAGGTTTGAATTTTGTGCCTGTGCACTCCAGTGATGTCCATAAAGGTCCATGCAGACAGGGCGCCAGAGAGTCCGAGGGGAAACAGCACAGCCATGTGGCCCTTTTAGCCCTTATTAATTGGGCAGGGGGTGGCCAGGAAAGTGGCTGGAGAATTCATTAAAATTTGCAGAGATGAAGGAGCAGCTGCTGCTATGTGTCCTTTTCTCCATAAGGAACTAGGAGAGGATCTTTGGGATAGAGGGACAGAGGCGGCCAACAGAAATGAAGGGAAAAGGGTGCATTTCTTCTTTCCTTATGAGGAATGAGGAAGTCATTTCCTCAGATTCAAGCAAGCAAGGAGTGGCCGGCTGCATGCCCAGGTCAAGCTGGGGTTACTTCTGCAGGGTGCTTTAGCAGCATATTTTGGAACTATTAAAGGATCACACCAATGAGGCTTTGGAATGGACCTGAAGTGGAATAGCTGGGAGAGGAGACAACCCGCCCCCCCACTCGGCCCTGCAAAGCGGATCACATGCAGCCATCAGCAGCACAGCCTCTCCTGCCCCCAGCTGGCTTTACTCCTCTCAAGTCTGGGAAGCCACGGGAGAGAGGAAGCTGGGACAGAATTAGGGAATTCTTTCCAGACTTCAGAATATACGGGTTTTCAAATATTTTTAATTGAGGGTAGTAATTTAGAATCTGAAGTGTCTGGTAGGGCACCATTTAAAAAAAAAAAATTCTCTCAAATGCATAATTTTAAAATCAATGGCTGGGGAATGAGGTTCGGTAGCAAGAGTTTCAACCTACCTGTGGTAAACATAGGTAAGCCATCTTGAAAGCAAGGCTGAGAGCAAGGGGGTTAGACCATATTCTGCCAGCTAATTAACAAAGGCTACTTGCGCAAGAGCGATGAGGATGATGCGTACGGGCGGATGAGGGATCACAGAGCAGCTACAAACTACAGAATCACCTTGGCAGGAGCTCAGGCCACACAAAGAAGCTTCCAAACACACCCACGGCTAAATGCATGGTTACTTACTCCAAGTAAGTGCAATTCCTCTAGGTAGATTAACTTCAGGATCTGGGTAATACGTACAGGCACATTAAAAAGATTTCGATTTTAATTAAAGTGATCACTATTACTTTTTTTTTTTTTTAAGTAAAGACCAGAATCATCAAAGGCATCTTTCTCCCATTTTTAAAGCAAACCTATCCAAAGCAAAAAGAAATAAATAAAATAGAAGGAAAACTTAGAAAAAAAGAATAGGTCATGTGCACAAGTACACAAAATTTCATTACCAAGGACCACTTAAAAAATAAATAAATAAAAGGAAAAACACCAAAGATTTATCACGTCTTAATTTCTTAGAAAGCTTTTGGAAGACGATCTGTGAAAGGGCTTTACACCCACCACTAGGCAATATGACAGAAATGGTTCCAGAACTTACAATCTTCTTCTCACGTTTGCTATGGTGATCTACGGGCATGCTGCTGCCATTGCTTCCAGGGGGGACAATGCAGCCAGGGTTAAGTGCCTGAGATGGAGGCATGCTCTGCAAAGGTTAAGACACACAGACGCATCACACACAAAGGACGATGACAGCGAAATACATAGTGAGTACATGCACGTTAGAAAAGCAATGCCAACGCCTAGATTACATGTGAGCAACGCAGCAGCCGATTCTGCAGAGTTAAACTACTGGTGAAATCTGACAGGACTACACAGATTCAGTGGCAGAAAGCACCATTAGTTTTATTAAAAACTGAATAAGTAAAAGCTTTTAATATTTTCAAAAGGCCTAGGGGACATCTTTTTCTCACTTGAAAGATGAAAATTACTTGGAAAAGCCATCAACACAGAGATGTAAAACCACAACAATTAACAATTGAAAAAAATATCCTACCACAGCCTGTGTGTTTGAGAAAGAAGTACCTAAGAACAGATCCACTGAGAAATAACCCATGCGTGTCCACATGCAGCGTCCGACTTGTGAATGCAAACTGCCGTTCCCTGAGACGGGGTGACACCACTCTGATTTGCACGGTACAGACAAGTCAAGCATTTACCTCCTGGCTTAGAAGAGGTCTTGCTTCAAGAGCCGTCCTTTTTTTATGCTCCTCTTTGACAGGCATCAGGGGCTTGAAAAACTTTGGTGGCTGAGGAGAGAATGCTTTAAAAGGGCTCACTGTTAAGGCATGAGGATTCTCCGAGGCACAACCTGCGGAAGACAAATGACATGAGTTTACAGCCACAGGGTGTGTTCACAGGCACCCAGGAAGGGAGGCGAAAACCTCGCCAGAGGACCACATGGTATAATGACGACAAGAAGACGTGACTATTTGGTCGGGCATTAACATGGACATAGGCAAGAACAGGGATAAATCTATAAAATCACAGAGTTACCAAAGGGCTGGGCAGTGCGAGAGAAATTGGAAACAAATGCTCTGCCTTCTTTCCATGACCCGGCTTTAAGTACCACTGAGCAGAACAATCTCAGCTCATGGACTTCCCACCTTTGAGTCCTCAGGCCCTTGTCATCTGTACATGCACATTTGCACTTTATTTATTTATTTATTTATTTATTTTTTTTGATGTTTAAATGTCTTTATTCATAACTGTCCCAAACAGGAAACAACATAAATGTCCCTCAATTGGGAAATGGATAAACAACCATCCAAACAATTGAATATAATTCAGCAATAAAAAGGAATAAATAACTGATAACTGCAACAATATGGATGAATTTCAAAAGCATTATATTAAGTAAAAGAAGCCTTGACTTGGAATGCTACATAGTCTATGATTCCATTTATTTGACGTTCTTATAAGGCAAAACAATAAGAACAAAAAACCAGATCAGTGACTACCACAAAGTATGGGTTAGGAGGACAGTTGGCCACAGAGGGGCAGGAGTTTTTTGGGCTGATGGCACTCTTCTATATCTTGGCTGTGATTGTTGCACAACTTGATTGCACAACTGTATATCAGTTTCTCAAAAGTCCCAGAATTACATACTTGAAACAGTGAAATGTATATAAAATTTTACCCTAATTTTTAAAAACAAAAAAATAATAACCAATCAATTAAAAAATGGGGGAGATTGAGCAGAACTGTCTAATGATGTCAAATGCGAGGCAATATAAACCTCGATCTCTGTTTTCCCCAGAAAACAACACATAAATTCTACAATAAATATTAATGGTTTATGGAATTGTCTCTCTTTATAAAGGATATGTAAATAAAGTTCAAGGACATTCTTCAAGACTGATACAAGATAAAAACAGAAGCTATCCACAGGGGACAGCCAATATATAGACTATATAATTCACTCAAAAATGCAAATTACAGAGGAGTTACCATTTCTTCACTACCATATTGGCAATTTAGTAGAAGTTTGAAGGGTGAGAATGAATAAAAACACAATGGATTGATTACTTCAAAATTCTGGGGGAAATGTTTTTCCATCTAAAATGTTATAGATAGATGAATGATCAGTCAAATAGAGGAAAGAAGAAAGATATTTTCATACTTTAAAAATATCCAAAATTTGAGGCTGGGGTTGTGGCTCAGTGGTAGAGCACTCACCTACCATGTGCAAGGCCCTGAGTTCGATCCTCAGCACCACATATAAATAAAATAAAGGTATTGTGTCCATTTACAACTAAAAAATTTTTAAAAATTTAAAAAATATATATCCAAAATTTGGGCTGGGGTTCTGGCTCAGTGGTAGAGCGTTCGTCTCACATGTGTGAGACCCTGGGTTCGATCCTCAGCACCACATAAAGATAAATAAAATAGAGGTATCATGTTCATTTACAACTAACTGAATGTTTTACTTGTTATATATCTTATTTCCATGGTTACATTTTTAAAATATCTTTGTTTATTTTTATTTTTATATGGTGCTGGGAATCGAACCAGTGCCTCACACATGCTAGGCAAGCGCTCTACCACTGAGCCCCAGCCCCAGCCCCATGGTTACATTTTTAGAGAGCGAATAGAGGTTCAATAAGTATGCTCAATGAATGACTGTGCTCGGTGAAGGTGGACTGCCTGTCCCTTTCGGCCTCAGGCTACCCAGCTCCATACCGCTAAAGACAGATAACTCTTGCTTGCTCTCTCATGTTACCTTGTTCGCAGCCTCTTTCCCCCTTCTATAATTTCTTCCCAATTCTTAGTATAATGACACTTAGTAAGTAAAATATAAACTATAAGGTAACAGATGAATTGATATTTCCAGAGAACACTATTTTCTTTAAGGCACTGGGAAGACTAGAAGTGTAGGTAATATATTGTCACTGATCAAATTGACTTCTGGTATCATTTTTGGACTTTAGGAATCAGACATAATCCACGCCCCTTCTTTTGTGCTGGGGATGGAATCCAGGGCCTCGAGCATGCTAGGTAAGTGTCCTACGATTGAGCTACACACATCCCCAGAACTTCTTTTTTTAATTTTTATTTTGAAACAGGGTCTTATTAAGTTACCAAGGCCTCTCTTTTCTTTTTTTAAAATATTTACTTTTTATGTGTAGCTGGACTCAACACAATGCCTTTATTTTTATGTGCTGCTGAAGATCGAACCCGGGTCCCGCCCAAGCTAGGCAAGCGCTCTACTGGTGAGCCACAATACCAGGCTCCAAGGGCTCTCAAGGATTAGAGGCATGTCCCATTGTGCCCAGCCCAATCACATTCTCTTAAAAACTCCTTTAAGTTGGTAATGTAGCTCAGTGGTAGAAAGCTTGCCTAGAATGTATGAAGCCCAGGTTTGAGCCCAGTCCTGGAAAATATATATATACATACATACATATAATAAAATAAAAACAAGAACTCCTTTGATTCAAGCATAGTGGTATACACCCGTAACCTCAGCTATTCAGGAGGCTTAGGCAGGAGGATTACAACTTTGAGGCCAGCCTAGGCAATTTAGCAAGATCCTATCTAAAAATAAAAAGGGCTGGGGATGTAGTTCAGTGGTAGAGTGCCACTGGGTACAGTCCCAAGTAACACATATACACAATTCCTTTAGGAACAAAAATATATATGACAGGGGTGCATGTTCTTTTTGTAGAGAATAATGTAATAAGATCTGTGTATGTACTTCAAATTCAGGACATGATGTCTTGAAAACTAAGAAGCCAGGAGTGGTGGCACATGCCTATAAGCCCAGCTATTTGGGAGGCTGAGATAGTAGAACTGCAAATTTGAGGCCATCCTGGGCAACTCAGCAAGACCCTGCCTCAAAATAAAAAAGAAATAATAAAAAATTCAAAGAATAACCAGGCAGAGTGGCACACACCTGCAATCTGAGTGACTTGTGAGGCTGAGGCAAGAAGATCACAAGTTCAAAGTAAGCCACAGAAATTTAGTGAGGCCTTAAGCAACTTAGTGAGACCCTGTCCCCCAAAATTAAAAAGGCCAGGGATGTGGTTCAATGGTTACACTCTCCTGGGTTTAATCCCCAGTACCAAAATAAATAAAGGAAAAAAAAAAGTAGAAATTATTGAGCTACAGCTCAGCGGTAGACAGCTTCCCTAATCAGAGTCAATCCCCAGTATCACAAAAAAAAAAAAAGGAAAATCTGAAGTGATATGCAACACACAAAAAGCATACCACTATTATTATTTGATGAATGGAAAGAAAAATGGAAATCCAGTAAGAGGACAGATGGCTTCAATCCACGAGCACACTTTGGTTCATCTAGCTGACAAGAATCTAAGCTTGGGGCTGGGGATGTGGCTCAAGTGGTAGCGCGCTCGCCTGGCATGCGTGCGGCCCGGGTTTGATCCTCAGCACCACATACAAACAAAGATGTTGTGTCTGCCGATAACTAAAAAAATAAATATTAAAAAATTCTCTCTTTCTCTCTCTTTAAAAAAAAAAAGAATCTAAGCTTTGTATGTCATTACGTGATAGCCGTGGAAGACTGTGTATGCTATTCCCAAGTAATTAAAAAGAAATGTCACCGCAAAACCATACGACCACTACCTTCTTTGCTCCTCCGAGGCGAATCCCTGGGTAAAGTTCCGTAGCACGCCACATCTTGGTAACTGGAGCTGTAGTCAGACATGTCTAACTGGCTCTCTGGCCAACCCTACAAGGTAAAAGTACAGGCTCACTGTGAGTCAGTCACTCCAAAAGGAGAAAGAAGCCTAGATTTGAGTTTCTCCTATGTTTAATGGCAGTTATGTGCTCTTTTATTATGACGTATTTCAAACAGAGATAGAAGTGCTCAATATAACAAACACCATCAAACCCAAGTTATCCCCAGAGTGAAACATGTTAATTTTATCGTATTTCCTTAAGACTTACAAACACAGTGACATCCACTTGTGAACCCCTTGGTGGTCCCATTCCTCCCTCTCAGAGGCAGCCCTTTCTATCAGTCTGGCCTACATCTGTGGTGACTGGACAGTGCAAGGACGATCCATACACTACTTGAGAGTAAAATGGTTCCATTGACAATTCTGCCTGGTAGTAGCCCAAGTTAGCACTGAACCAGGCAAACTAGGTGGTGTGCTGACTTCATGTATACCTGAGACTCAAGGTGCACTAAGTGTACTAAGTGGTGTACTAAGGGAGAAAACTTACATGTTGTTTGAGCTTATCCACCCGATTTCAACTTCTTAGGAGTGGGCTACCTCTGAGGAATAGATTCTGGATTTCTTGAGGACATAATCAGAAAGTATAAATACCAGTTATGTTCTCAAGAGCTTGGATCCTGCTAGTGACCCAGCAATGCCCATAGATGCATACCTTGTCATCTTCGTCAAAGCCAGAAAGGTCTGGTCGACTAGAGGAAACCTATAAGAGATAAGTAGTTTTTATAAATGTGGCTCATATATTTAACATAATTGTCTATTTTTATATACATATGTTTTTTAATATATATAATATTTTAAAATAAATAAATAAATAAAAATTATGTGCCAGGGATTGAACCCAGGGGAACTTAACCACTGAGCTACATCCCCAGCCCTTTTTATGTTTTATTTCCAGACAGGGTTTTGCTAAGTTGCTCAGGGTCTCAAAAAGTGAGGCTGGCTTAGAACGTGCAATCCCTCTGCTCCTGAGTTGCTGGGATTACAGGTGTTAGTCACCACGTCCAGGTATAACCTTTTTGTTGCTGTTGTTTTTCTTTTTGTCAACAGGGATTGAACTCAGGGGCATTTAACCACTGAGATACACCCCCCCCCCCACCCTGCCCTGCCCCCACCCCCTGCCTTTTTAAAAATTTTGAGACAGGGTCTTGCTAAGTTGTTAGGATTTCACTAAGTTACTGAGGCTGGCTTTGAACCTAAACTTGTGATCCTCCTACCTCAGCCTCCTGAGCCATTGGGATACAGGCAAATACCATCACGCCCACCTGTAATTGTCTTTTTATAGAAAGAAATGTCACGCCACGGATGTCCTGAATGCTGTGTGACCTCTCTCTTCTTTCATTTCCCTCTCCAGGAATAATGACTACACTCAATAAGAAGTTACTTCCACACCTATGTTGTGTAATCACATGTGCAAACACAGATAAACAGTAAATAGCAGCCAGGTGCAGTGGCACAAAACTGTACTGCCACCAACTCAGGGAACTGAGGGAGAAGGATTGCAAGTTCGAGGCCAGCCTCAGGATCTTAGTGAGACCCTCAGAAACGTAGTATTCGAGATAAAAAGTAAAAAGGGCTGAGGATGTAACTCGTGGTGCAGTGATATTGGGTTCAATTCCTAGTAACTATAAAGGGGAAAAAAAGCAATAATCAGTATCTCTGTAGTCCCCACCCCAGCCCCCCACTGCTGGAGATGGAACCCAGGGCCTCCTGCGTGCGAGGCAAGTGCTCTACCACCCTCATTTTCCATATTTTTGTACTTCATGTAAGTGTTGTCTTACTACACTTGGTCTTACACAGCGTGGTGGATTATTTGTTCCATTCTCCTGTTAATGAGAATTGAGGCTGCTTCTGACTTTTTTCTATTAGAACTCTGATGAAAACACCCCATAGCCAGGCATGGTGGTGCATGCTTATAATCTCAGCTACTCAGGAGGATGAGACAGGAGGATTGCAAATTTGAGGCCCACTTGGGCAACTTAGTGAGACCCTGCCTCAAAATAAAAAATAAAAAGGGCTGGGGATGTAGTTTGGTGGTAGAACACTTCTGGGTTCAATTCCCAATACTGACTGAAAAAAAAATCCATCTTCTCATTTCTAATATTTGTATCTTTTCTCATATTTTCTTTTCCTTCCCAATGAATCTTGTTAAAAAAGCCAGTCCACGTGACCAGACTTTTTAAACAACCTGCTTTTCAGTTTTGCTGATTCTTTATTTTTCTTAAGTTTGTTCTAATATTATTTGAATATTTTTTTGTTCTAATATTTACTTCTTTCCTTACTTAAATGATGCTGGTTTTCTTTTTTCTAACTAAAACTGTGTCTATAACTATTTGCCTATTAATCTCTCTCTTATTTTTATTTTTTGCAGGACGGGCTATTGAACTCAGGGGTACTTTACTACTGAGCTACTTTACCAGCCCTTTTCAATTTAATATTATTATTTTTATTTTGTGATACTGGAGAATGAACCCCAGGGCACTCTACCACTGACTTACATCCCCAAGCCTTTTTATTTTTTGAGATAGGGCCTCGCTAAGTTGCCCAGGCTGGATTTGAACTTGTGATCCTTCTCCCTCGGGCTGGGATTATAGGTGTGTGCCACTGCACCTGTCTTATCTATAAATCTGTAGAATATAAGGAACTCTTCCTCTCGCCTTTTTAAAAAACCATAACCACAATACATTATCATTTCTATACAACTTAGGTGATTCATAGATACTATCAAATATATGGTCATGTTCAAATGTCTCGTAAACATTTTCACAATTAATTTATTTTGGATCTGGATCAAAATAATTCATACATTGCAATTGACTGATATATTTCAGTGTCTTTAAATCTACGAGTTCTCCCTTTTCTTAAAATTGAATTTTTTTGGAGTTTTATCTGTTTTTAAAACAATTTAATTAAATTTAATTTGTTAAAAAAATTAGGTCATTTCCCCTGCAGTGTCTCATAGTCTGGATTTTGCTAATTGAATTTCTGTGGTGGTATTTAACACTTTCATCTGTGTTCTTTGAAAGTTAGTAGCTAAACCTGGAGTCTTTTGGGGGGGGGGGGTTGGGCGGTGGGGGGTGTCAGAGATTGAACTCAGGGGCACTCAACCACTGAGCCCATCCTCAGCCCTATTTTGTATTTTATTTAGAGACAGGGTCTCACTGAGTTGCTTAGTGCCTTTGCTGAGGCTGGCTCTGAATTCTCGATCCTCCTGCCTCAGCCTCCCAGGCTGCTGGGATTACGGACATGCACCACCGTGCCTGGTTAGACCTGGAGTCTTGATTAGGTTAAGGTTTAAAGAAAAAAAGAAAGAAAGACATTTAGATTATTTCATGTTTTTTGTTTTGGTGTTGGAAATTGAATCCTGGACCTTACACATGTCAATCACACACTCTATCACTGAGCTACATCCCCCAGCCCGTTTACCCCCCTTCCCCCTTTCTGAAATAGGGCTTAATATGTTGCTGGTCCTGAACTCTTGGGCTCAAGAGACTCTCCCCCCACCACCCCAGCCTCCTGAGTAGGTGGGACTTCAGGTACACACTACCAAACCAACCTCCCCGCCCCCCAGCTTTAACGTAAGAACCATAAATTTCCTAATAGTAACTCTCACTCTTTCATTTTATCTATTGTCTAGTATTTTTTAAAATATTTCTTTTTTTAGTTGTCGATGGACCTTTATTTTATTCATTTATTTATGTGTGGCGCTGAGAATCAAACCCAGTGTCTTACATAAGGGAGGCGAGCATTCTATCACTGAGCCACAACCCCAGCCCTACTGTCTAGTATTTTGATGAATAAATAAGAAGAACAGGGAACTTAGGGCTCATCATTTCCATTTAAATACCACTTGAACTGCATCCTACAATATCAACATATGCCTGTTTTTATTATCATTTAGTTGTAAATACTTCCTGATTTCTATCCTGATTTCTTCTCGGGTTCATTACTCAGCAGGGCCGAGTTTCCTCTATTACAGCTGTCTGAGTCTTATTATCTTCCTAGGGCCTGCACTGTGGTCAGAGGCAACGCCTGGGACAGAGATTACTGCTCTCTGCTGTGATTTCCTCTGTGTGCTGTAAGACAACTTTGCAAACCTTCACCGTGGTTTAATAGTTTTCTGGTAATTCTGGAGATAGGGAAGGCAAATAATTCTGTGCTTTTCCTTAGAAGGCTCTCACTTCTACTCTGCTGCTTCTGGGAAGAGAAAGCTTTGAAATTGGTCCATGCACTAATCTGTCCTTTATTCCCATGACAGTGTCCCCTCTGCCAGAGGCAATTTCTGTCGACTGAATTTTCTAGGTGAATTGGTTGAGAAAGATGATCAAAACAGTCAAAAGAAAGACTAGGAGCTGAGAAGCAAGGATACATTGAGCCTGGCTCTCTGCTGCGTCCCTGGTACAGAGAAGCAGGCTCAGCACACTGGGGGAGGTGCTCCCATGCCAGGAGTGACAGTCCCACTGTGCCAGCCCCAGCCTCCCATCCCTGAGGCCCCCACCCAAATCCTGAGGCAGGTCACACAGGAAGCAAGTCCCCACCAGCGCGAGCTTACATTGTGAACATTCGGTGTGCTGAGGCTCCTCCGGATGTGCCGGGCTCTGGTGGAAAGTGCCTCTTTGACCGTGACGGCCTGTCAACGTATAATTTAAAGATAATGTTCATGAATGTCTCATCTCATTATTAAAGGGACACATGTATTTGTAGAAGATTTATAAAATATAGATGAAAAGATCACTTTGCTAATATGGATCACGCATGCGCACAAATCCATATTTACAAAACTGCAATTTTGCTGCGCCCGCCTTTTTTTTATTTGCACAGTTCCGTTGAAAATATTAAAAAAAAAAAAACCAGAAAAAATGCTGGGCAAAATACATTTCAACTGTGAATATTTTTACACAAGTGACAGAGGAGTGCGCAGAGAAAATGAGGAAATGAGAAGATACCTCTAGCTGTATATTTCACTTGCAAAACAACAAAGAAGTTTTATGCTATTTGTGTTTCACTCAGGTAGCAATTAGGTTTCTACTAAAAGAAAATGATCCTGACAACTGTCAGTCGGGTTTCTCCTGCTGGTTTGCTCAACACAGACTTTCCATATTGTCAACCACTTGCTCCCGTGCGGTCAACACAGGACATACACCTGGTTTTACAGTTCCAATACAGAGTGAACCACTTGTGCTTGAATGTCTCCGCTGTTACCTCAAAAATTAACTTGGGTCTCAGAATCAGGGAGAGAGTGGCAGCATGTGGTTAAACATATGGACTTTGGAATCCAGCTGCTTGGGGTTTACATCTGACTTTGTACCCTTTCCTAAGTAGCTGTGAAATCTGTGGCAAGGGAGCTGACTTTTCTCAGACTCGATTTCTTCATTTAAAAATGGGAATTACAACAGTTTTACCTTTGACAATTAAACAACGTATCTGTAATGGTTTAGATATGAGGTGAACCCTAAAAGCTCATGTGTGAGACCATGCAAAAAAGTTTAGAGGTAAAATGACTAGTTTAGGAGAACCTTAAGCTGATCACTGTAATGCTAAGCACTTGAATGGATTAACTAGGTGGTGACTGTAGGAGGGTTAGGTGTGGATGGAGGAGGTGGGTGGGTGGGATGTGCTTTTGGGATTTACATTTGTCTCTGGTAAACCTGAGCTGCTTTCTTCCTCCACACCCTTCCGCCATGATGTGCTACTTTACTGTGGGCCCAGCACAATGGAGTTGGCCATCTGTGGACTGAGACCTTTGAAACCGTGAGCCCCTCAAATAAACGTTTTTTCTCCTCTAAAATTGTTCTTGTCAGGATTTTGGTCACAGTGATGAAAAAGCGACCAGAGAACAGTATCTAAGTTATTCCGGCACAGTGCTTGGCAGGTTGGAAGTATTCAATGAAAGTTCGCATTATCTTTATTTGGGGCACTATTTTGTCAAAATCCTTTCAATAAAGACATTTGCCACGTGACTTCTCCTTCTCTGATAGCTTTAGACAGGTGCTTGGTTACAAATTCGTCCCTGCTCCCTGGGGTGAAGGCATCCAGCTATTCAGTTACTCGCCTGCCGGAGCCGTTCAAGGCTCAGAATGTTCTCCACCTGCAGCACGCCCCGTGTGTACTTCTCAATGTACGTCTCTCCGTCGGACGTGCCCTCGTTTTCACTCCGGGCTGCCAGGAGAGCCAAGGTTTCCCGGTCCTCAATCTCTTCGGTTGCCTAAAGAGAGAGGGGAAAAGTGACAGTACTCATGTGGACAACGTTTTCTTCAAAAGTGCGGTGGGACCAGGTGCAGTATCCCAGCAGCTTGGGAGGCTGAGGCAGGAGGATCTCAAGTTCAAAGCCAGCTCAGCAACAGCAAGGTGCAAAGCCACTCACTGAGACCCTGTCTCTAAATAAAATACAAAATAGGGCTCGGGATGTGGCTCAATGACAGAGTTCTTGCTTAGTTACCATGTACCAGGCCCTGAGATGGATCCCCAGCATTGCAAAAAAATAAAGAAATAAAAAATTGTTTTTAAATAATATATATTTTACCTTTGGTATGTTGGAGACTATTTCATAGGTTACCCCACAGGAATAAAATATATTTTTCAATGATATTCTCCTCTTCAAACTCTGTGTAAAACTCTGGCGGAAAAGAAAAGGATGGATTAAACTGTGTAACAAATACAGGCTCAATATTTTACCCACTGTAAATGCATTATGAATACTTATGTTTTTGATATATACACACAATATTCTGAAAAACAGGAAAAAAAAAACCCTATAAACTTAAATATCCTGTCTATACTTCTGAGGGACAACAACATCCAGGAGTGACTTGGAGACTGCATTGTGGAGTGTGCAGCACACAGTCTCTGTGGTGGTATTCCCCTCCCCTCTGCTAACTCCATTTAATCTCTCCCTTTAATCAGTCTTTCCAGAACACCAGCACTCTGAGATGAGACCTGGCCAAGTGGTTGCACAGGCACTCATTTGCAGTCTGTGTTTTGTCCTGGTTTTGTTTCTAACCTGACTGGGCCTGAGACTTAACCTCTTAGTCTATATTTCTACTTTTCAAACCATAAAATGTCACTGCCAGGATGACGGGTTTCCTCTCCGTCAAGGTGGCCAAGTGTTCTGGGGATGACATTTACCTCTGAGGGCCACACGCCCAGTGATCTTGGAGAAATGACAGTCAGGCTCTAACCTGGCCAGTGTGGCCACATTCTGCCCTTTCCCTGTATTCACACTGTGAAACAGGACTGGGACAGAAGGAAGACTGGGACCTGGGAGACACAGCAGAGCGCCTCTGTTGCTACCTGTTTGTTGTAAATGTTGGCTGCAATCCGTTTCCTTAATACCAACTCCATGGCAGCCGGGTGGCTGAGCTGGACGGTGGTCTTCACAATCAGGTAAATCCTTTCATTCTGCGGTGTGACCCTGTTCAAGTGAACAGAGTCGTGTACTGAGGAGTCCCAAGAGGCAGTAGCTGAAACCTAGGAAGGAGGGAAAACATGGCGAGACGGAAATAAGTTCCACTTGACCTAGTCAGACAGACTTCTTTCCTCACCTATTCTGAACAACACAAATGATTTATTTTTTGAAGTCCCCGCTCCTCCTCCCCAAAGCAGACCACAATGGCTTATCAGGAAGACAGCCCTCCCCCGCCCCACCCCACTGAGTGCTAATCAGAGGCCTCCAACAGACCTGGGGATAAATTACCTCGTCATCGCTGTGCTTTATAATGGGCAGGTAGAAAAACTGGCTGCCATGCTCCTTGGGCAGGATGGAGTTCACGCCTGATGCGTGTGGACCCACAAGCTGCTCGTTGGCACTGAGGTCATCCGCTAACCAAGTTCAAGTTTAAGGCACAGGATAAAGAGGTAGGGGAAAGATAGTTTTTAAGCAATCACCCCAAATTCAAAAACATATTTATATTTTTTTCTTTTTGAGGTGCTAGAGATTGAACCCAAGGCCTGTGCATACTAGGCAAGTACTCTACCACTGAGCTACACTCCCAGCCCCAAAATACACTTATTATAGAAAATGTTTACATGTGACATAACTTTTTTCTTTCATTCTCTATCCTCAAATTGAAACAGATACTCTAAGATCACAATGACTTGAATTCCTTAAAAATACAACTCTAGCCAGGCGGGTGGTGCATGCCTGGAATCCCAGAACCTTGGGAGGCTGAGGTGGGAGGATTGAGAGTTCAGAGCCAGCCTCAGCAAAAGTGAGGAGCTAAGCAAGTCAGAGAGACCCTGACTCTAAACAAAATACAAAATAGGGCTGGGGATGTGGCTCGCGGAGTGATGAGCGCCTCAGCTGGCTGTCTAGCCCGTGGGTCTGGGCAGGTGGACCTCGGCAGGCTGATTGCATCTGCTGGACCATGTGAGGATCCTTATCACACAGGGAAGAACATTTTCATGACATTCAGGTGCTTTTATATTCATCGCAAAAAACAATTCTGAACTGGGGACGTGGCAGGTACTTCTGAGTAGACTCCTAAAGCAGGTACCACTGCCTCTTCCATCAGCCACTTTCCCCACTGAAATGCGGATATCTTTCTACAGGCCACCTCTGTGGTTTGGAAAAGCCTGCTTTTTGTTTTGTTTCAGCTTCCAGATCAACGCAGAACCTCTTAGGATGCAGTTATCTGCTGACTTCTCCAGGAGGAAAAAAAAAAAAAAACTGACATAGGTCTTCTGTTGCAAATTGCTTAATTATCAAAAAATTATTTTGCAAGCTCAAGGCTGATTTTAATTTGAAACAGGTGCTTAGGTCGTGGTGTTTGTGAATTCTTTGCCTTTTGTTCCAACAAGACTAAATACATGGCAAGAATGGATGACCTTCAGGGTTTTTCAAAATGTCTTCTAGTTTCGGCCACTATTATGATAAGCACATACTAGACCACAGCAGTAAATTCCAAATATTTGTTGTAACTTGGAAAGAAAAAGATGGTGAAAGTCATACATATCTCAAAATCCTGGTTCGTCTTATAGCTTCATAGTACAGAAACACAAATCCAGTTTTATAGCTAACCCTTTGATGTGATAAAGAAGCATAAAGACATGAAGATGGATTTCATATTGGAATAAACCATCAGAGTTTCTTTACAAATACACATTTTGAAGTGTAAATTCATATTTTTGGATGAAAAGAGGGATTTTTCTCCTGGAGAAGGAAGCTGTTGTTGTTGACTTTCTCAAAAGTCTTGTGACATTTGCTATTTTAAGATTTTTTTTTTTAATTCTTCTACAAAAGGAGCAGATTATGCAGCAGCTGACCCTGTGAATGCACACCTACATTTGGTTGGAAGAATGGTAAAAGCAAACAGCATAGTCTGAGCCCAGTGATGGAATCCTATTCACCTCCCTGAGATGAGAGGGGGCTGTATTACATACAGTCTTAGTCATCTTTTTGTGGAGTCATAGCACATAAGACTGTTTTCCATGTGACCAAGGCTGGAAGAAAAGTAGCATGAGTGGTTTTAAGTTAAGATGATGGGGGACTGAGGTTGTAGCTCAGTGGTAGAGCGCTTGCCTAGTATGAGTGAGGCACTGGGTTCAGTCCTCAGCATCATATAAAAATGAATAAACAGGGGCTGGGGTTGTAGCTCAGTGGTAGAGCGCTTGCCTGGCACGTGTGAGATGCTCGGTTTGATCCTCAGCACCACATAAAAATAAATAAATAAAATAAAGGTACTGTGTCCAACTACAACTAAAAAAATTAAAAAAAAATAAAATAAAAAGGTATTGTATTCATCTACAACAAGTAAACAAACAAATACATGATGGATCCTAATCTGTCTTTAACTTCCAGAAGTTTCCATATAACTCCTTTCTCCTAAGAAAAACAAAAATGTCTTATGTAGCACCATTTGACTTTTTTGGGGGGGGGAATTTTTACATTTCATAGTTCCATTTTTTTAAAAATAAAATAAAAGTAACTCCCTTCAACTCCGATGGGTACTTAGATTTATTTATCTAGAGACAGGAATAACGTTCAGCTGGAAACGCTGGGACTGGGGTAACTTTCCCCACTTGGAACTGAACTTTCTCACCAGCAAATGGGTCCTTCTCAGAAGCCATCCTATGCTTCAGAAGTAATATCAACGTTTCAGAACAACTGCTTTAATATTCTTGTACATAATTCTCAATATTCCTAAGTGGTGTGTGTGTGTGTGTGTGTGTGTGTGTGTGTGTGTGTTGCTAAGGATCAAACCCACAGCCTCATGCATACAAGGCAAGTGCTTTACCACTGAGCCATGTCTCCAGCCCCTAACTGTTCTTATTTTTTTAATTAAATATTTACATCTTTCTGTCAGTGATACTATCTGTCATGCTTACATATGTTTGAATGGACCACAATGTCACCTAGACACGGCATATGAGCAATTACAAAAGTGATTTACAGATCGAAATAATGTGAGTCTGAATACATGACAAATTTTAATTAAATGTGGTGGCTCCTGGAACTTACCATTCAAATCAAGGAAGAGAACTGGTATGTGGGTTTCCATTCCAGAAGGTGGAATCCTAAATTTAATAACAAAATTTAACAATAAAGTATCTGTCTGCTATCTTGCTGGTTTATAAAACAGGGTCATGGAAGCAGAAGAGAAGCCCTGTGGAGAGGCAGGTTCTGTGGCTGGCCTAGCTTTACACGCTCACCTCCCTACAACCCAGTCCTGGGGACTACAGGATTTATGTGCAGGAAACGCCAGATATGTGAATTAAATGCAACCAATTGAAACAGAGGTCATTTGAAGACTTTCTAAAACTAATTCTAGTGATGGGGAGAAGGAACAGGGGTGTAGGTGGTGGTAATGAGATAGATCAGAGCTAGAGGATCTAGAGGAAGTGAACAAAGGGGCCAACAGCTAAGAGCCTGGAGGAACACGCGAGACGTGTGAAGGAGGCGGCCTCGGGTGCAGGACAAAGCCTCTCCTAGAACGTGAGGGACACAACCCAGGACCACATTTTGCAACTACTCAAGTGGCTCTGAAGTTTGAAAATATGTGAAATGGGGGAGACTGTGCTAAGGTGGAGGACTGTCTAGAGAGGGCTCTGAGAAACAATCAGGTCGGGAAGGAGCTGGCTCTCCCCAAGGGGCCAGCAGAGACGGCGGGGAACGGGATTCCAGCAGGAGGCGGAACCCAAGGGAGAGACAACCAGTCACAAGTCATGCACTTGCAGACTCAGTTCTCCAGTTGCATAAACAAACCATGGAACTGGTTACAGCTCCATGTATCCACAGACAAGCAGACAATATCACGAGGGTTGCTAAGTGTGTCCAAATTAAACTATCTGGGCATGCACATTTTGCATTCAAAGGGAATCAGTCTCAAGGGCATATTTTTGTAATTAGAAAGAGAATGAGAGCAAGAAGCAGCCCTACCATGCACCGAATGGTGGTGCAGCTATTTTATGTACATCGTAATCTACAAGGAAGGCTGTGTGAAGATAAGCAAGGTGTTTAACGTGCCTTCTTCCAACACCACACACACACACACACTGAAGAGCTAAAACCAAGAACTAAATCCCAAACTATTTCACTCCAGAGCTTTGGGCACTAGGCTGTTTCTCAGGAACATACCAAGCATCGATTATCAATCAACTGATTGACTGACTACGTAGGCTTAAGTGCTTACTCTTTGCTAGTTACCAAAATAACACATACTAGGGAAAATAAGAACAAACAGGGTCGTGGATGTCACTCAGTGTCAGAGATCTTGCCTAACATGCACCAGGCCCTGGGTTCAATCCTCAGCACCCCAAAAACCAAACCAAACCAACAAAAAAGGCTGGGTACAGTGGCACACCTGGGTAATCTCAGCCAATGACTCAGAGAGGCTGAGGCAGGAGGATCGCAAATTTGAGGCCAGCCTGAGAAAATTAGCAAGATCCTATTTCAAAAATAAAATTCATAAAATGGGCCAGGGATATAGCTCAGTGGTAAAGTGATCCGGATTTGATACCCAGCACTACCACCACCACCAACAAAACCTAAAAAACTGTCCCCTACACTCTGGGAATATCCTTTTTAGCCAACATGATAGGATTCCTAGAGATCAGGAAACAGTGTCCAAGTTCTCATTCAGAGGAATACAGGAGTGGCACTGGATTCTTGGAGGGTCAGCAATCTCTCTGGCTTCCTGCAGGAGGAAGCTGGCTGCAGTAGGAGGGAGCACTAGGGTTGGGTGGCCCTTTCCTGACAGCTCAGTTCCTTGGCATTCACTGTGACAATCCTAGAAAGCCATGGACATGGCTCTTGCCACGGGCAGTAGACACCCACCCCCAGGGCACAGAAGGCAGGGGGCCTCACCAGTCAGCTGGGGCGCCGGGGATCCCACTGCCCGGGGCGGGCACCAGCACAGCGTTCCTTTCCTCCGTCAGCCCCACCCACTGCTCCACCAGCCGCGCCTCCCGCTCCACGTCGTCCTCTGTCTTGTCTGCAGAAGAAAATGAGGGGATGGGTGCCCAGGAGAGGGAAGAACAGCGTCTACACCGGAGACGGATGTGCACTCAGTGACACCCACATGGCTTACACATCACTATGTCCCAAAAAAGGGTTTGCGGCTTTGAAGGTCAGGCCTGAGCATCGAGGCTGGGAGAGGCTGGACCAGCCCCGGTACCCACAGCATGCCAGGAAAAGAAGGCAGCAAGAGGACTTAGGTTCCTAGCACTGAAATACGGGAAAGCCTTCAAAAGACAAGCCCTAGCTTCCTAATCTGTCAAACAGTGGAAACTCAGGTCAGTGTGTTTCATGACCTTGCTGAAGTGATCAAATGAAATAATGGATGTGGCATATAAAGCTAGATACCATCTTATAAAATGACAGACAATTTAAGGACATCATAAACTATGCTTTGTAAACCTGTGTGTGTGTTTGTGTGCGCGCGCTGGATACTGGATTGAACTTAGGGGCGCTAACCACTGACCAACATCCCCAGCCCCTTTTATTTTGAGACAAGGCCTCGCTAAGTTGCCGAGGGTCAAACTTTTTTCTCTTCCTTCCTGCTTATTATGAAAAGGGATTTTATTTGCTCTACTTTGGAATGCTCTTATCCATAATTCAATTCTGGGGCTTCCCAGGTGTAGTCAAAGTGAGTTTTCACAAGTGGTCTGAGCACATTCCCCACCAGACACCACAAGCTGAACCAAGATGTCTCCAGAGAGAACTTTGGCTAACTTCTGTATAAAATGGATCAACATTCAAGATGTGTGCGTTGGTGCTGGGTCAACCTCAACACGTAGACCCTGAAGTCGGAGGGAGAGACTAAGGATTTTAAGAGCATATTTCTATTCCAGAATCCAAGTGGTGTTGCCAGCCAAAGCAAGCTGTGTCCTTCGGCAGCAAGGGAGCTGCAGAGAGCACCGTGACCCAGCTGGGGTCAAGGCTACTGCCCACCAGGAACCAGGTGCCAACCAGCATGGTCTCAGAACCTTCAAGCTGCTGTGAACCCTTGACTGTGACCCTGGTGCACCTCATACTGCTATATTGAGATCCATCACATCTGTGTTCATCGAAGCCAGATGTGAGGGCTGGGGCTGGGGCTCAGTGGTAGAGCACCTGCCTAACGTGTGAGGCACTGGGTTCGATCCTCAGCACTGCATATAAATAAATAAAATAAAGGTCCATCAACAACAAGACCCAAATGTGAGTTTGACCTTTAATGTGACAATTTTATGACAAAGCTCAGAGATTTATGAAAACATATTACTTTCAAATTCAGAGCCTTTGTAAACCAACAACATATAATTAGATTCACAAGTATCTGTATGTCTGTTTCAAGTTCAAAAAACAAAGATTCTTCTGTCTAATCAAGGGAAGAACACAACCTGCTGCCGCTGCTTATAAGCACAGAAGCTCGTCCTGGGAGTTAATTGCACGTACCTTTCTTATTGCTGACTTTTTTAATCTGCTCATCTAAGTATTCTCGTCGTTTGATGAGTGCATCTGACCACCTCTCTCGGACGCAGTTTAAGTCTTCTTCCTGATAAGACGGAGGAAAGTATCTCCTATACAGTGCGTAGAACACTGTTTCTTTCTTTTTAAAAATATGTTCAAATTGATCAGGAAACTTTTCATTAGGAAAAGGTCATTGAACATCGCTGGGTGATTAATAGGCAAGAAAGCAAAGAGGCCTCAGTAACACCGCATGCGGATCAAGGATGTCGGTATACAGAAATCAGAGCCTTGGATCTCCAAGAGGATAATTGTATAGAAAGCAAGATAAGCTCAAACCATACCAGCCGCTGAATGATTTATATATATATATATTTTTTTGTGTGTGTATGTGTGTGTGTATGTGCATTTAAATGGTAGCTATTCACTGACAGATGTGCAATTTAAAGCAGAAGGATACCATGAACAGAGCTCAAATCACATAACACCAAGTGGAAAGGAAAATGTCAGGCATTTTCATAGTTCATAGTTCCATGGTCTAATAACATTTATTTTCTGAAATGCAAACAGGGAATCTTTTGAAGTTGCTGCACAGACCTCATGTCCAACCTCCACCATGAGTCTAACCAAGGTTCTTTCATGCAAAAACCCAACATGCATTCAGCCATGCTTGAAGAAATTCCTGAAGCGGCTGTCGGCCTTCACTGGGACCAACGCGGCAGGAAGCGCGGAAAAAGCCACAAGACGTTAGTCAACGGCACTGCTGAGGTCCAAGGGAACACTGACATTGCCCGAAAAGTTTGCTTTGCCTTTTTTTCTTTCTTTATGAAATTAAGAGTAGGGGAAAAAAAACCCATCAATTCTATTTGAAATGCTATTGGACTGGCCTGTTTTAATATGACTCTTAAGATATTACATTAGGAGGAGACTCTTGGGGCTCTCTGAAGCTTTTCCCACAATGCACCCATGATTGACATACAGAAAGGCACACTGCATAAATACCCTCTTAACTTGTGTAGAAAAGTACAAACTGGGAATCAATCCCCAAAACCTTCATCTAGGTGTGCTACTTTGATCCTGACCACACTGACCGACTTTTCTGATATGGAGCCAGTTAGTGCTTGTTTTGCATGTGAGTATATTTTTTTTGTGCCTTTCCAAAAGAAAAAGCTGAGATTTAAATCCTATAGGTTGTGAAAAAACTAAGCTTAACCCTAATATGAGGAGAAAACTGGCTAAACAAAATGAAGTGCATGAATGTCTCCCATTTTTCTAGCCAGTAAAGTCTTTTTAAAAGTAAAGTGGCTTATTGGGAAAATGCTAGTTCCTTGGATGTGGGAAGCACAGTGCAGTTCAGCCTGGGAAAGACTAGACTATAGATGGAGAACTGCAAGTCTTTTTAAGTGATAATGGTCTTGCCTAGCAGGGCTTTATAAGGTAGTGATTCCAGATGGCAGAGCACCAAATACAGTATTGGGTTTCAAATTTTGAATTAACAGGGAAAATAACAGAAAAAGGACCACACCCCTGATTACATAGAAAGCAAATATAAAGCAAGTGAAAAACTGCATATTCTGGCTCCCTGGTCCTCCTTCCTCCTCCCTGGCTTCCACTTTGCAAATGCTGGCAATTAGCAATAGCTGTGCCCCATGCCACAGGATTGACAGCAGTAGCAATACCTGGTAACTATCCATATCATCACCATCCTCATCATCTCTCTGGTAGGAAAAAAATAAACACAAAGGACATGCATTTTGTTTCTCAAACAGCACACAGGGAAAATAATTCTTAGAGCTTAACATACACATTATAATGGTCGGCTCACACAACGTCAGCACAACAAAACATTTCATTGAATCTCAAAAAGGGTTATGGATTTAATTCACTTGTCTAAAATTTGAAGGATTCTCCCCCCCACCCCCCGCAGTCCTGGGGATGGAACCTAGGGCCTCACACATGCTAGGGAAGCACTGAGCGACATCACTAGTCCTTTTTAAAAATCTGAAACAGATTCTCACTAAATTGACCAGGCTGGCCTCCAACTTGCAGTCCTCTTGCCTCAGCCTCCCAGGTAACTGGGATTATAGGCATGTGTGCTATCACACCTGGCTTCTAAAGAATTTTTAAAATATAGAGCAGTTATTTAAAAGCAGAACTCTCTCTGATGGAGATGGAAGCCAACACCATTGGGCCAGGCCTCATACCAAAGGACAGGTAATATGTATTTACGGCTAGGCTGACTGAGATCTGGGGTGGGCTGAGGGAGACAGAATTGCCAATCCGTGAGGGACTTGAGAGATTCTTTGTCCCAATCTTGGTTTTGGTCAGGAAAAAACTAAGACCTGTAGGATGAGATGAATTAATCCTGGAAGCCAGGCTGGAAGCTGGGCCTCTGTCTCCAACCTCAGTGGTCTTTCCTGCACCCACCCTTACATGGATAAAAACAAAGTACCAAGGTGCAAACACAGGTCTTTGTTTGTTTGTTTTATTTTATTTTGGTGCTGGGCATTGAACCCAGGGACACTTTACCACCGAGCTACATCTCTAGCCCTTCTTGATTTTTTTATTTTGAGACAGGGTCTTGCTAAATTGCTAAAGCTGGCCTTGAACTTGTGACCCTCCTGCCTCAGCCTCCCAAGCAGCTGGGATAACAGGTGTCTACCACCAAAGAAGTTTTGATCAAGACAATTTTCCTGAGAAACAAGATCATAAAAACCCAATTATAAAACGAAATGCTTTTCATTAATAGAAAAGATATTAACCTAAAAGTGTTTTTAAAAAGTTAGAATTCTATTCACATTTATACTTCAAAATACACTACACTTTTTTTTTGAAGGCCTAGTAACCATTATTACCAGTTATATGACTACCTTATTAAATGTAAGCCTAATCTTGAAAAAATTTACCTTAAACTGATGTTGTGTTTGTGTGTGTGTGTGTGTGCGCCTGTGTGTGGTGTTGGGGATTGAACCCTGAGCCCTGCCCACACTAGGCAAGCCTTCCACCATTGTGCCACATCCCAATCCTTTTTAAAAATTTTTGCTTTCAGACAAGGCCTCACTAAGTTGCCCAGGATGACCTTGAACTTGCACTCATTGGGCCTTAGTCCCCCCGAGTCAATGGGGTGACAGGAGCACTCCACCACACTTGGGGAGTGTAAGCTAAGGAGGGACTTCCCTCACCTGAAAACAGGCCAGAGTTTTCGTGATGTGACACCACTGGGAAATGAGTACACTCTGTACTGGCTCCTGGCTACTGAATAAGAATTATGAAATACTATGTCCACAAAAGTTAGTAGCCATGACCTTGAACATGGCAGCAAAGGGAAAAAATAGCCTTCAAAGTGACTACACTTTTCATTAATAGAAGAGATATTAACCTAAACATCATTACAGTTTGGCTGGGTGCAGTGGTGAACAACTGTAAACTTGACTAGGGAGGCTGAGGCAAGAGGATCACAAGTTCAAGGCCAGACTCAGCAACTTGGTGAGGCCCTAAGCAACTTAACGACAGCCTGCTTCAAAATAAAAAACAAAAGGGCTGGGGATGTGGCTCAGTGGATTCAATCCTTGGTATCAAAAAAAAAAAAAATTTAAAACCAGTCACCAGCATAGCTGGTGCTATGCTTTATGTGTGTGTGAATGTGTGTGTGTATGTGTGTGTGTGTTGCTGGGAAAGGAACCCAGGGCCCCAGACAGGCTAAGCACACACTGTATCATTGAGGTATATCCCAGCCCTGGTACTATATTCTTCAAGAGAATACAGCTAGGCGTGGTGGGTGCATGTCTGTAATCCCAGCAGCTTGGGAGGCTGAGGCAGGAGGATCACAAGTTCAAAGCCAGCCTCAGCAAAAGTGAGGTGTTAAGCATCTCAATAAGACCCTGTCTCTAAATAAAAAAAAATTACAAAATAGGGCTAGGGATGTGGCTCAGTGGTTAGGTGTCCTTGAGTTCAATCCCCAGTACCCACCCTCCACCCCCCCCACCCCACCCCCCACCCCCGCAAAAAAAAAAAAAAAGAGAACAGAGCACTGAGAAAAGGCTAATGGTTCAGAGTTCACATTTTGATTAAAAAAAAAAAAAAAAAAAGGTCAGTTTTAACTCAAGAGGTCGAGCCATTCTAAAACATGCAAATAACCAATCCTTACAATTTCCCTGAAATGGGAACACTCAGCCAGTTGAAGATCCATGTTTTGTAAGGTCACAGTTGAAGACACACAAACTCAATGGTTCATCTAATATCTGAGATTTATTAAGCCACAAAGTTTTATTGCAGAAACAGACCTCAGAGAATAATTGTCTTCGCCATTTGGGACAAGGGGGGAAAAAAAACCCTCAGTTTTAAATTATCTGGCGAAGGCGACGACTTGGCAGAGCTGGAGAGATGACGAGCCTGGTCTCCTGACCCCCAGGTCTCTGCTCACCTCTACCAAGCCCTGCAGTGGTCCCCGGAGCTGACCACCAGGTGAGGGACTGAGCTGGGATGAGGCTCCTGCAGTCCACCTCCCTGCCCAGGCCAGCGGAGGTCGGGGGAAGCCACCCCACAGAGCCTCACCCTCCAGCCCGGAGCAGCACATCGCACACAGGGCTGGAAGGACGAGGGAAGGCGGGGTCTGGCGACGCCATCCCTTCTTAGAGCCAACAGTCTGTGCCCTGATTTTGAGCTTTCAGAAAAATCTGTCTAAATGCCACGAAGCCAAAAGGGTCTGAGATGGGAGATGAAGCATTCGCAGGCGGCAGGGCTCAGGCTCCAGCTCCAGACGGACGATGAGCCGGGAGCACACGCCCTCCGACAGGCCGTGCAGGGGCAAGCCCCCACTTTAAAGCTTATTCTTGGGGATGACTCAAGAGGGTTTGCCTGGCAACATGAAGACCGATTCTTTAAAGTTTTCATCTTTTTTATTTTTAAATGAGAGCATAAGATTTGGGAAATGGAGATTCAATGGACAAAAATGATCACGAGGACAGCTTTATTATTTAAAAAAAGGAGTAAAGCTTTAAAAGAACTGGTTCATTCTCAAAGAGTACGGTGGCAAATATGGCATTAAAGTGGATCAGGCCAGGCAGCGACATCAAATGTCCAACAAATTTTGGGCCAGATATGAAATAAACCTGCCTAAAGTAAATAACTACTATAGCATTAATATGTGTGTTTATAAATAGGTTATTATTAATTAACAATGAGCAAACACAGTGTTTTAAATCTAGGGAAATAGGCAAGGGGTGGAAATGTGAATTGGGGGAAGATATGTGGTTGATACAAGTTCTATTAGATTCCCAAGCAGGTACTCATCAGAGAGCATTAACTTCTTTACTTCTGTACAATCTAATTCCTTTGCCTCAGTGCTGGGGATCCAACTGGGAGGTCTCATGCATAGGGGGCAAGCACTCTGCCACTGAGCCACGACCCCTACCCCGATCCTTGTTAAATACCACTTCACATCTGCGTGCCTTACCTGGTAACTGTCCAGCCCTCTTTGGAGTTTGGTGGACCTGGCAGTTACGCAGCCAATGGATACCGACAAGATGGCTTCAACCATGAGCGGCAGTGTCCCTGAATGCTGAACAGGTTTCACTGTGACTTGCACTCTCCGGGAGTGACCCTGCAGAGGTGTGGTGGTGGTGGGGGAAGACAGGTGGCAGGCATGGGGATGGGGAGGCACAGGAGAAGGAATAAGGGGAAGGGAAAGTATTGGGGAACAGAAATATGAATTATTAGAAAATTCCCAGAAACCGTGGGAGAGTGGAAACGCGGATCGAGCAACACGCTTAGTACCTGTCTGAGCTGGAAGACGCCCCCCGTGTTGACATCTTTAGCCTGATGAAGCTCCACGGCGGCATATTCCCCCAACTCATTCAGTTCTAATATGGAGATCCACATCTCTATTCTTCGAGTTACTTCATTCCACCTGCCAAATGACCCAACAAGAAACAGCGTCACCGTCCAGTATTAGTAACGGAGCAAGCCATCAGTCACTGTGCACGCCCCCCGTGCTGGGCACCGTGCCACGGCCATCACATAGGTGATCTCCTATGGCTTGCATGTATTGAGACAGAACTTACCTTCAGTGACACGCCTGGAGCTCCAGCACAGAGTTTGAAGAGTTTGGGCAAATGCACACACCTGTGGACCCCTCCCACCACTCTGTCGCTCCCCGTTCAGTCCCCTGAACCTGTGGTAGGAGGCCACCCAATCAGGTGAGTTCTTCCAATTCCAGAACTTCATATAAACGAGATCACACCAATGGACTCTTTTGGGTCTGGCTTCTCTGGTTTCATATAATGATTTTTGATATCCAAATGGATATAAATAGTTCTTTCCTTAATGCTGAGTAAGACTCTATTGTATTTGTTTACCAATTCACCCACTGAAGGACATCTGGGTTGTTTGAAACTTCCCCAAGTTTTTTATCCACTTTGGATAAAGCTGAAATGAACATTTGTATACACCTCTGTTTATGGACATAGGTTTTCATTTCTCTTGGTTAAATATCTAAATACTTAGTGGTGGGATTGTTGGGTCATAGAAGGAATTGCCAGTTTTCTCCCAGATGGTGGCTTACCTATTAATTTTCATAGTTATATGTTTAGATTGGCACAGCTCTTTTTCTCAAAATTTTTTTAGTTGTTGGTGGACCACTATTTTATTTATTCATTTACATATGGTGCTGAGACTCAAACCCAGTGACTCCCACGTGCCAGGCAAGCACTCTACCACTGAGCCAAATCCAGCCCTTCACGGGCACAACTTTTAATTTTGATTAAGATCAATGTAAAAAATTTATTCTTCTCCGATTAGCATTTTCTGTGGCCTAAGAATTTGCGACCAACTCAAAATTGTAAAGATACCCTCCTGCTTTCTTCCATTAGCTTTATAGTTTCGTTTTGCATTTAAAGCTAGGGATCTATCTCATATTAATTTTTGTGTCCAGTGTCAAGTAAACTCAAGGTTAACTCGTTTTTTGCAGTTGTCGCAGTTAGGTCTGTTGAAATAACCACCTTCCCCCTGTATTTCTCTGGTGCCTGGCTGCTCCTTCAATTATTCTTTAATTGGAGACAATAGTGTGTGACTTAATGGAGGAAGCAAGCACAGAGACATTGAGTAACTTGTCCAAGGTGACAAGTACAGTCCAGGGGTCACCGTCTGGCTTCTCTCTCACTCAGGAATGAAGTGACCCTGTGCTTCCAGCTCACAGCTGACGACGCACCTGTCATGCAATGTTCTTGTCTTAGCGTGAAGAGAGTCCACTTCCCAGACGGAGCTGCCATTGCCAGCACACCGGTGGCCCCAGACCTCAATTGCCAGCGCTCCATCTGATATGAACTCTAGGAACTCCTCGGTGACATTCACCACGTAGTCCTGGGTAAGAAAGGAGAGCAAGACAGGAGCCACGCATAAGCAGACTGCGAAATCCCTTAGCCTTCAACTGCACACTGATTCATGCTGGAGGATTTTAGCCTGTTTCTACCTTAAACCCATCCCTTCTATTTTCTGGGAAAATGATAAAGAAGCACAGAATAGTGGATCTGGCAGGAAACTGTGAGGCTATTTAATCCAACCGCTTTCTTTTCTAAGTGAGGAAACTGAAGAGAAGGACTTATTCAAAGTCAAACTGCTAGCTGGTTTTTGCAGGGCTCAATCTGCATTCTCTTCCTCTTGGTTCCTTCTTGGTTCTGCAGGGCCACTCTGACTTCCAGCTGGCACGGACTCAATCAAAGGATTGCTCCTCACCATGGCTTGGGAGAGTAATGATGGAATTCAATTTTCTACAGTTATCTTCATGACTTATGTATGCTCTTGCCCTTAAGCCCTGCCACCTCGGGTCCCCATTCTAAAGCACAAACAGATGACGGTTTGGAAATGGATAGGGAATTGGCTGAGAGATGTGGCAGATCACCCCGAATTATGCAGCAGGCAAAAGAACAAAACCAATTTTCTTTCCATTAGCATCTCAGAGGAATCCCAAGTGGATACTCTCAGGTGGAGTCACTGTGTGACTGTAATTTATAGAAACAATGTGTTACACTGAGTTATACTGTGTTTTCATTTTATTTGGAGACAGACCCAGAATTTTAGAAGGAAAAAAAAAAAAAAAAAAAAACTTAAGGTTACATAGTGCACCTAGGGCTCCGGAAATAGTTTATGTTAAATAGTCTTTAACCACCAGGATGCACCTAAAATTCAGACATCATCCTTTTCTACTTCTAAAGAAACCACTTGGTAGATCCAAAGAAACATGAGGAATATTTAAAAGAATGAATATTCAGAGGGCTGGAGTTGTGGCTCAGCAGTAGAGCACTCGTCTAGCATGTGCGAAGCCCTGGGTTCGATCCTCAGCACCACATAAAGACGAATAAATAAAATAAAGGTATCGTGTCCAACCACAACTAAAAAATAAATATTAAAAAAAAGAATATTCAGAGAACAGGCTGAGTATGATGCACACACCTGTAATCCTAATTACTTGAGAGGCTGAGGCAGGAGGATTGCAAGTTAGAGGCCAACCTGGGCACCTTAGTGAGACTCTGTCTCAAAAAATAAATAAATAAAAAGGACTGGGGATGTAGCTTAGTGGTGAAGCATCCCTGGGTTCAATCTCTAGTACAAAAGAAAAAGAATATTCAGAGAACAATAACAAAAGAATGATTGATAAATATTTGGAGAACAGACTTGCTAAATACAGTAAAGACATGAAGGCTATATTTAGAAAAAGACTTGACAATCTTTCCCTATGTGAAATTTGATAGGTGGTGATATGCATGTGTTTTCCGAGTGTAAAGCTGGAAAGAACAAGCACAATTATAAATTGAAAAAGAAAGGGTCTTGAATATCTATCAAGAATTGTCCAGGAAAAGGACAATTTCAGAGAGCATAAAGTTGGTCTTTCAGAAAAGAACTGCCGGCAGTCCCCTATAAAAGGAGAGCAGGCAGTGCCTCCCCCAAGGTCAGTCACCTGCACTCACCATGAGCTCCCCTTTTCCATTTTATATTTTCTTTAAAAATTCACACAGAACGCTGTGCTTAGCATATTATGCCAAAAGAATGAGAAGTATCTATAACAACTCACACATCAAGAGGCTCACAATTTTGCAGGGCCTAGTGTGATCCTCATTTTGTAAAATATTTTTAAACCAAATTACATGTGCATGATGTAAAGGTGTATATCTATGTCCATTTATGTGTATATGCACATGTTCATCCTACACATACGAGAGTTGCAAGGCATAGAAAATATTCTACTAAAATACATTGCAAGGTGCAGTGGCATACATCTGCAGTCCTAGCTACTCGGGAGGCTGATTGATGCAGGAGGATCTCTTGAGCCCAGGAGTTCACAGCTGGCATGGGCAACACAGTGAGACCCTGGCTCAAAAAACCAACAAATAAAAAAACCCAAAAAAAATCAAGTATAGAAAACTGCTACTAGTGGTCAAAAGTCTGTAGAATAAGACTGCAAGTTGAAGTCTTTCAGATTTTGTTTTAAATATTTCTAAATTATTCAAATTTGTAAAAGTTGATTTTGAGGTTAAAAAGTCCAATAAGATGTTACATTTAATGAAAACTCTTATGGGGAAACCTTGGAAGTTATGATTGGATTTTACAGCTGCACCTGACTCCACTGCCCCGACACAGTTTGCTTCATTGCTTTGTTTTTCTGCAGTGCTCGACGCTGACCCTAGGGCCTGGAACGCATACAGTGTACAGGTGTACAGCGCGGGCTCTAGCTCCAAGTCACGCCCAGCCCTGGAGCTCACTTTGCAATGGCATCTGTACCTTACAGTGAGAGAAGGTCACTGTGTACTGGGCATCCTTGGACTGTGGGGAGGGCACATCGGGGTCCACCACCGGGGCAGCCACGGCAGACTCACACTGGTCCCAGAACGTGTACTGACAGAAGACGAAATTGGACAGGCTTAAGGGCAACCCAGTTGCCTCTTTGATTTTGACCTGAGGAGATTAAAAGATGCAAATATAACTCCTATAAAGGGAACATTAAGTCACACACTATATTGTCTCCAAGTAAAGAGAAGGTGATGGAATGAAGCAGTCTTCCATTTGTCATCTGAGAACATTTGATGCATTTCATTAAAGGTTTTATGTATAATGAAATCTGTACCAGAGTTCTCTATCTACAGTGGAAAACCTGGTAACAAGTACACACATCCCTGCAAACCTTCCTACTGACCAAGTTTCTGATACAGATGTGATCTGACTCACTAAGCAGCACACACTCCTCACGTGCCCAACACAGGTGAGCCTACCACACCTGTGGGCTAACCTGACAGAGGACTGAAAATGTTTAGAAAAATATCATGCTTGTGCAGAACCCCTGTAGATTTCTTTTCTTGTCATTTCCTAAACAACACAGTAGAATAGGTCCTTATGTAGCATTTTGCTGTATTACTCAGTATATGTGATCCAGAGACTAAAGTCTGTGAGGGTGCACAGATTATATGCAAATCCTCCCCCGTGGTAGATAAGGAGCTGGAGCCTGAGTGGACTTTGGTATCTGTAGTGTGTCCTGGAACCAATTCCCCAGGGGTAGTGAGGGAGGCATACGTGTGCTTTTGGAATTTTATCCAACTGTCTTCAGAAAGTGTGCTATGCTTCTGGAGAAGATGCCGCCCATGGTTCCATCTGTTTTCAGACAATTTAAACTCTATGACTCTGGGTGAAAAATTCTCATAAACTTCTTGACCCTTTGCCTGCACCCCAAAGGTCATCTATGTGCACCCCCTGGGCTGCCCGGCTCACCCGGCACGTCAGCTTCTTGACGCGGTGAATGATCTCTCCACTGCCATCCACGACTTCCAGGCTCCCGCTTTCGCTCGAGTTCTCTGAAGAGTCATCCTCCACCACGCGCTCGGGAACAGCCCCCGTCACCCGCATTACCTCCACATGCAGACGCCCTGCAACCTGGGCCAGGGGACAGCACCAGGAAGTTACAAAGCTTGCCACCGGCTCACTGACATGACTCAGAAACCCACCTACAAACGCCCGGGAGCATCTCTGCGGCCCCCACCTATGGAAAACCCACCACACCCAGAGCCCGGCACCTGCAACAGTCCTGCCTTACTTTGAGCTAAATTTGCCTCCTCGCGACTTGCCTTCTGGAAACATCCTCGGTCTTACCTTTTTACTTCAGGTCAACCCAGGAACAACTGGACGGCAGCTTTCACATTCTACCTGGAACTCTCTATGCCCCACGTCATTCGTGCAGGCATTTATTTGACCAAATGCTTCATGAACTTATTTATTTCAAACACCTAGGCTCATGGGACACCAAGATAGAGATACAGGCCCTGCCAGGAGGGAACTCCCAGTCACGTGGGAAGAGACAGTGAGAAGTCAAAACCCAATAAGAATACACAGACAGAGGGTAAATATGTTCATTTATGGACTCAGCAAGTATTCACTAAGGATGGGTGGTGCCAGGGAAGGTGCTAAGCCGTGCTCACAGCCGTAAACCAAAGAGACGTGGCTCCCACGCTCATGAAGCACAGAACTGTGCAGCTCAGGCTGGCCTGAGGGGTGCTGATCCCAGACACACCTGTGTCGGGAAGAACGGCCTGAAGAAAGCCACGCAGATATAAGAACCAGCTCTTTTACAGCTGTTTTTCATTCCCCATGTGGTGGTAGTTCTTGGAGAGGGGCCGGTTCAACAGCGTTCCTCCTGAAGTCGCTCGTAGGGAACTGAACTAGAGCACAAGGAGGATGCTCAAGGGGTGTTCTCAGCGCCCTTCTGCAGCCAGTCACCCTCCAGCGCACAGGTCAGGTCAGAAGGACTGCCCAGGAGGGGGCCACGTCCTCCGTGCTGCCACCTGGGCAGGGAGGGTTATTTGGAAAGGTGGCTCAGACTCAACTTCAACACGGCAGCTGGCACCAAGAACCTGAGAGAAGCTAATTGATGATATTTGACAAGTGAGACAAACAGAAGTGGTAAGGAGGAGGAGACAGGAAATGTGATAAATCAGCCAGAAGATAGTGGGTCAGATTGTATTCTTTGATTTTTTTTTTTTTTTTTTTGAGAATCTAATACATTTGTACTGTAATTTCAGGGGGATTCATGAAGTATCACAGCCTACCTCAGACCCCAATTTAAGAACCCCTGAGCAAGGGTCTCAGCCATTAGATTCCTTTACCACATGAGCTGTATAATTTTGGGGTGGGGTGGGGTACTGGGGTGGGAGCCCAGGGCTATTCTACACTGGGCTACATCCTAACCTTTTTATTTTTCATTTTGAGACAGGTTCTTACCATGTTACTGAGGCTGACTTTGAACCTGCCACCTTCCTGCCTCAGACTCTCGAGCCTCTGGGATTATAGGCATGAGCCACTGTGTCCGGAGAGCTATGGCTTTTTTTTTTCCCCCGATACAAGGGATTGAATGCAGGGGTACTTAATAACTGAGCCACATCTCCAGCACTTTTAATTTTTTATTTTTAGACAGGGTCTCTCTAAATTGCTTAGTGCCTCCCTTTTGCTGAGGCTCTTTGAACTCTCAATCCTCCCTCCTCCACTTCCAAGCAGCTGAGATGACAGGTGTGTACCACCATGCCTGGATGGGCTATGCATTTTTTAACATGGGAAAAAGCAACCCTGGCTATTGGTCCAGAGCAGAATAGGTGGGGGGTTACTACACACAGACGTGGGCCGTGGACCTGCATCCCACCAGGGCACTCGGGTCTATTTCCCAGCATTGCTCTGGGGAGAACGGCATCTTATCCCCAGGCTGCTCTTGGTCACACACAACTTGGTACTTTTATAAGTTATAAAGGACAAGCTAGGAAGTAAGGGCATTACTAAGCTGTAAATAAAAACATCAGCTGATGAAATGATTTTAAAAAAGAAAAGGTTTGAACTTCAACATTTTCCAAAATGTATCTACATAACTGAAATAGGAGGATTCACAAGGGGGTAACAATGGGTTGTTTAAACTTATTATTTTGAATATTTTGGACTTCATAATAATCCTCCCAAGTTACGTCATCTTATAAACATCATTTAGGGGCCGTGAAGGAACTAAAGATACGAGATTGCCTTTTAAAAGGGAAAGCGATATGGGGCATGGAACTGAATCTTGTTGTCAAAAGATGTCTAGTTAAACACACATACACACACATAAACACACATACACACACATATACACACACACACACACACTGTGAACTACAAACATCATCTGTGTTATATTACCTTTTAAGACCATGACGTAATCTTGAGAGTTTCTACTAGTACCAGCGATTAGCTGAGAAAAGAGTAGGCAGATCGTGACCGTCTGCCCTGGTTTCTTTATCTACCTCAAGATGGCTTTAAAAGAATTCAGACCTCTATTTTGAGGCGACCTGCCCTTACCTCCCCCTGCTGGCTGATGATGGGAACTGCGTACTGAAGCTTCACGTCACAGAACAGGCACTCCAGGAACACGTTGGCCACACCGATCAGGTTGTGGTTCTCCTGGGCTTCGTAAAAAGGGTCCCCTCGCTTCCCGTAGAGCCTCTTGGCCTGAGCAGTAGGGAGGGCAGGCGGTGGGTGGGCAGGAGACAAGACATCAGCTTTGTATTATTTAAAAACAGCATTAGAAAAAAATCATGCTTTAAGGAAGTTTTGGTGGAAACAAATAAGTAAAAGAAGAATCGTGTTCACGTCATACAACAGAATCAGCATGTAAGATGGGCTTCCTTGTTGGGAACTAAGGAACCGCATGGAGGATTCTCAGCTGCTGCCTCATCTTCTCCGTCACAGCCGCCTGCAGTTTCTCCACCCCACTCCTCTGCTTTGCCTGTGGTCTTTGCCACACCTTCTCTTCTATTACTAACCTCCAAAACAATGGAGTCACTCTTCCAAGCCCACCCAGCCAAGGCCACCCCTAGGGGCACATGCACACACGATGAATGCAAAACCCGTGCTGCCTCTAGACAAACCGATTTTCAGGACACTGACAAGACAGCACAGGTCCACCTCCGTCCTGTTCATGTGACTTGAAATGAGACGGTGCCCATCCCGCTATGCTACTGCTGCTACTAAAACTCTTTCAAAATCACTTTTCTGTTTTTCTCTAGTGTCATGGGTGTGCATGCATGTGTGCTTGTGAGCACATGTATGTGCATGGGTGCACGCATGTGGGTTTCTGGTGGTGACGTCATCTGTGGCCTTGGCATTTGATGTGACCCAATTTCCTTTACGTGTTGTCCTTTTACCTCAGGGACATTCTCCTTCCATTCTTGATAGAGGTCTCTCATGTCAATTAACTTGTTCTCCAGCTTCTCAATGGTCCAAACCTGGGTGCTCTTCCCCTTTCTCCTCACCTGAATAGCAGGCTCACTCACTATCGCACCTCTCTGCAGGACGAAGAAAACCAACAAAATGAACATTGCAGCTTTTTAAAATTGTTAAATCCTATACATACACACACACTCACACTAAAGTAAAGAGTTTGCAGAACACATAAAATGTATATAAAAAAGATAATATTCTCATCATGCTAAACGAAATAAGCCAATCTTCCAAAATCAAAAGCCCCATGTTTTCTCTGCTATGAGGATGCTAATTCACAATTGGGGTGGGTGCGGTGGGAAAAATAGAGTCACTTTAGATTAGGTAGAGGGAGTGTGGGGAGGCGAGGGAATATGGTGGTAGGAAGGACAGTGGACTATATAACTACATGACTGGTGGGATTCTACATGTATAATCAGAAGAAATTATACTCCATTACATATGATATATCAAAGTACATTTTTACTGTCATGTATAACTAATTTAAACAAATAAAAAAAATTGTTTTAAAAAGCTAACATTCTCGTACCTAGGAAATACTGCATTATTTTCTATCTTCTATGCCCACCCATGCACACACTGTATCTTTTTGTTATTTATCTGGAACTGGGGATTGAACCCCGGGGTGGTCAACCATGAGCCACATTCCCAGCTCTTTTTATTTTTTCATTTTGAGACAGGGTCTTGCTAAGTTACCTAGCAATTCATTAAGTTTCTCAGGCTGGCCTTGAACTTGCAATCTTCCTGCCTCAGGCTTCTCTAGTCACTGGGATTACAGGTGTGTGCAACCATACCTGGCTATACTTTTCATTTTTATCATAACCAGGATCAAACAAAATGTATCATATCCCAATTCTCTCACTAGTTTTTTACATTGTTATTATTTTCTTAATATTCTTCACAAACGTGGTTTTTTTATGGCAACATAGTAGACCACCATTTGGACTTACCACACATATGACTGATCATTCTGTTGTTGAACATCAAGGCTGTTTCAAGTTTTCACTACTACAAAGGCCACCGAGACAGCAACCGTGTATACAAAGGACATAAAACTACATACCTTCTAGGCCTATGTACTCAGAACTACTGGGTCAAAAAACTACAACCTCGCAAGTCTGATGAGGTGCTCCCTGACTCCCTTCCTCACTACCTTCCTGGATTGAAAACGAATGGATAAAGGGCTGTTTTCTTCCCAGTTTCCCCTTACAGGAAGAATTCTCCAAGTTAAAATGACAGGAAACCTCCCTTCCTCCTAGGATTCACTCTTTAAAAGGTATTGTAACAAAATACAGATGGCCCCCATTTCAGGAGGGGACGTTTCTGTACAAGGGGAATGCAGGATGATCACTTACATATGCTTCTGTCAGTAGGAAAGTATTTAAATTAGCAATTCCTTCAGCCGCCCAAACCCTGCATATCCTGCTTAGAGCACATCTAAAGGGTTTGTTTAAGGAGCATTCTTACCTGGAGAGGGGTACAAAGGAAGGCTTAAAAAGGAATGAACACCTTGGGTCACATCAGGATCTCCCGAAGGTGATCTGCGGATTTCAGCTCATGGTGCTGCTGACCACTGTACGACCCACTCTCCTTCTTTCGGGACATCCTTACCTTTCTGTTGGCACTGAGGTTTGCAGCAGGGATCTGGAGAGTCACTTGGTAATCAGTGAGTTTGCTCATTTCTTCAGCTAAGAAGTTTGCTTCCCGCACCAGGGTATTAGCTTTGACTAGCTGCTCTCGTAGTTTGGCCAGGCTCTGCCGGAAGAGTTCATCCCTGTGGGGTCACATAAAAGGAAATGAGCTCATCTAAAAAAACCGTAAACCTGTTTGTAAGTGAGTGGACTCATTAGAAAATGGCAGAAAACTCCTTTCAGACAAAATTTTCCAACCTATTTTACCAAGTCCCCTCTGACCCCTCTAGCCCATGCCTGGGTTTTCTCCTGGAATCACTGCTGGGGTCAAAGCTGCATGGGTACAGAAGTAAAACCCAGGTTTGGGGGCCGGGTGGTCACTCAGTGGTTGAGCGTTTGCTTAGCAGGAGTGAGTAAGGTCCTGGGTTCAACCCATAGCAGCAAAAAAAAGAAAGTTATGTTTAAAAAACTACCAGATTTTGACATGAGGATTTAATTTTTTTTTAAAGTAAAGAAAAAGAAATGATGGTTATGACTTTTGTGTGCTACAGGCTGGCAGAGGCAGGGGGTGTTGGGTTGGGAGGTGAGAGACCTAGAGTTAGAAGAAGAAAGAAACTGAGGATTTCTTCAGCTGGTGAAGGTCACCGTCTCTGCAGCAGCGGGGATTCTTTTTAACTATACACAATAGCACTTGGTGATAAAAGGCTTCTCTAACACCTGATTCGGTCAAAACCTCATGACATGGCTCTCACAGCTCCACATCTGTCACAGTTAGGACTTTTCATTTACCTGCATAACTACTTGATTAGGCTGTAAGCGCCCCTCGGGCAGGGATGATGTCCTTTTTGTTTCCGCTACACTTAGTTCCTGGCCAAGTGTATGGCCCAGCAGAAGACACTTAAAAAGACCCACTGCATGGAAGAAATGCGCACTCCTGGATTTCACTTTTGAATCTGGGTTCAAAGATAACCCAGATGCGCGACTGCTCTGTGCCCAGCGTGGAGGGCTTCTTTTCTACCCTTCACATGTCCCATCCCTCCTGGGAGAAGATGAGCTCAGAACACACAGTCCTGCTCCTTTCTCGCCCCCTGGCAGGCGACACAGGAGGCACACTGGAGAGTGCGCACATCCCTAGGATGGTTCCAGAAGGGTATGTCCATTTCCAGGCGCCCACCCTGGCTCTCGCGGTAAGCTTGGTCTCTTCTCTTTCCCACAACATCCCGAGCCCTGTTGATGCTTCTCTGAAGCATTCCTAAGCCCCTCTCCACTTCTTCAGGCCCCTTCTCTACAGGGCACTCTCCTGCCTCTGCCAGGCCACTCTCTGGCTCAAAATCTAGCAGGGATGCTCTTCTCCCAGGGCATAGATACCAGACACTCACGTCTGTAGGTCTCCCACAGGTTGTAATAGTTTTAGAATTAATTCTCCATGCTTCTCTATAAATCACCATCTAGACTAAACAAAACAGCGCAGCCTTCCCCAAACATGTCCATTGCTTTCTGTCTGTTCATGCTAACCCACACCTGCCCAGGGACCTCCGACTGGGACAGAGGCTATAGTGGGAGTGGAATGCTTAGCACGGGGATTGAACCCAGAGCCTCCCACTGCTTAAAAAAAAAGAAAGAAAGAAGGAAAGAAAATAGGAGAGGGGGGATGAGGAAGAAAAAGAAATGCCCTTCTCTGCTTTCTACCTGTTCAAACTCCATGTTTCAAACTCACTTGAAATCTTGCTTTCTCCAGGAAAATCTCTGCAGAAGACTCCACATGGCTGGGGTCTCATCCTCCACTAAAGGCCCATCACCCTTACCATGCCCTTGCCCACAGGGTGACCACATACTTCCTAGCCACGTCAACAAACTCACACGACCAACACAAACAGTATCTCCTCGTTCCCTACCAAGGGACATGGTTCTACGCCCTAGGGACACTTCCATGAACAGAACAGATTCCCTGCCCGCAGGACGCATTTTGCAGTGGAGAAGACAGAAAGCAAATAAATAAATAAACATCAAGTCACTGTCTTTCCTACTGTGGAATGAAACCGTTCTGTAGCCTCCAGTTATGATTCAAGTTTTCGCATCACTCTGTCTGGCTCCACATTACATCCTACGTGTACAGAGAGCACACACCACATCTGAAGCTTTCTCCTTTCTCTGCAGCTCTATGCAGCTCTGGAACACACCTGAACACACATGGATGTGGGCGGGAGGCTCAGCCTCTCACCACCAGCCACACTTCTTCACCTGGTGAAACCTCATGAAAGTGAGACAGCAGCCCTGCTTATCATTCTGAGTGACATTCCCCAGATATCTGCTTCTCCAGTCTTAAGAATCTAAGTCCCAGGGCCTCTTGCCTCCAAGAAGACCCACTGTCTCCCTCAATAGTCTCCCCCTTCCCTTTCTTATCCCTTCTAATAAACTCAGGCCTGTTACTCTGAAGGGAAAAAAAAAATTCAGGGAAGTGAAAAAATTTAGATAATTAACTGAAAGATGCTATGATTAAAGGCAAATCCACTTTCTCTATCAGGTACCTTTCTTGTCTTTGATATTCTTGACTGAACAGAAAGGGCATCAGTGGGTATAATTACACCCAAACCTTCAAAAGCTGGCTACCAGCTCACAGTAGATGTGGGAAAGGTGGCTCTTGGGAAAGCGCCACTGGGTCACTTTTGTCAGCTTCTCCCAGGGACAGGAAAATAAAGAGTAACATTGAGACGCTTGATGAGCCTTCACAGCCGGGCATCGGGACAAATGAGTCAGCAGCCCCTGGGAAGATGCAACCGACTCCTTTCTCCTGGCTTCGCACAGCCCAGCACCAGAGCACCCGGAGACGCGGTGCAGGGCGTGCTCCCCTTCTCTGGGCCCAGCTCCCTGGAGGGGGCTCCTGTCCAGCCTGTCACTACCAGGGAGGGATGTGGAATGTGTGGGCCAGAGTGGAGACTCCCGAGTCAGACTGCCCTGGCTCCGACCCCACGGCTCAGTTTACCAGCTAAATGACCTTGGGCAAGCCCGAGCCTCAGTTTCCTCCTGTGTAAGAGAGTGAGCACAGCCAAAGACAATGGCAGGTGACGACGACAGGAGGGAAGGTAGAGCACTTGGTGCCCAGAGCACAGTAAATACTCTGCAAATGTCAGCCACAACCTCTGTTGTTAATTATAACACAGGGTTCATCCAGGACTGTAGACAGAGCTGGATTTAAGCTCAGGCTTTTCTACTTACTGGGTGGTGGGAGTTTATAAAGCAGGAATAAGCTGGGTGTGGTGGCACATGCCAGAGGCACAGGAGGCTGAGGCAGGAGGATCTTAAGTTTGAGGTCAGCTTCATCAATCTAGCAAGGCCCTAAGCAACTTAGCAAGACCCTGTCTCTAAATAAAAAAATAAGAAGGACTAGGAATGTGGCTCAGTGGTAAAGTACCCCAGTAAAAAAAAGAAAAAAAAAAATCAAAAAAGGGCAGGAATAATAGTTCCTATGCACAGTGCTGTTGGGAATGTTGAGTAAAATTAGCACCATGCCTAGATTGTGGTGTGAACACAACGGAAGTCAGTGTCAATTTACTGTCCACTGTGGTGGCCGATATTATTATCATTTCTTCCACCACTGCCTCCTTTGAGAGGTCTGATATAATCATTTTAAGTCTTATGCCTTGGAAATTCACATTTAGATTTCTCTACCCCGAAGTTACATTTGAATAGAACCCAAAGTTCCTCTCCCTTGAAGTTAAATTTGAATAGAACTAAAAGTAAAAGAAATAAAAAAGAAGAATCTGCTTTTTGTTAAAGACTTGGATTCCAACTCGTCCTCTTTCAACACTGAGCAGCGTGGGCCTTCTGCGCTGGCTCCTTGTTCGGAGTGTGGGGTCGTTCTCAGGGCGTGCTGCGGCCCACACACCTGACACATCTGGGGTGGATGGTGTCTCTGAATTCAAGGAAAAGCCACTGCCCAGCAAACTAGATATGGGGAAACTCGTTTCCTCTCTGCGAGACTTGTGCCCCTTGGACGGGCCTCACGAGCCCCTGGCGCCTGGCCCCGGGCCGCCCGCCCGCCCGCTCTTACCTCTCCTCTGCCCACTGGGTCACCTTCTGCTGGGCTGTCTGGCTGCTGTAGGACAGGCGGTCGGGGCCGCCACTCGGGGGCTGCCGCTCGGGGGAGAGCTGTTGGCGCAGTTGCTCCAGCTCCCGCTCGTACATGAGCCGCTGCTCCTCCAGGGCGCTTCTCTTCTCTTCCAGGTACTGCTTCTCCAAGGCCTGGACCACGTTTTGAACTGGGTCTGGGGAGTCAAGAGACAAGCAAGTGTCTTGAGTGGAGGCTGAGGCAACATCCAGGCAGCCTGCCGGGGCTGCTGTGGCAAGAGCCATCACCCGCCCAGGTCCTCGCCCACAGTCCCCTTCTGGGGGCTCGCAGGTCAACTCCTCTCCGTTTCCTTTTGTGATAGCATTTTGGATGACATTCTTCACACCCACCCCGTGACTGTTTGGACAGATCACCCATCTCCTCCCAGCAGGTGGGGGAGGAGACGGGATGTGATCCTCACCCTTGAGAAGAACGTCGTGAAACCCAGGACAGCGCCACGGACAATGGGATCTTTGCTGACTTGGTTTCTAGGCACCTCTAACTTCGACGTGGGCATGTCAAAGGGTTTATGATTTTTACTACATACCTCAGTACTCTTGAATTTCTCTAAGAGGAGAGGAAACCGAAAAATCACAGCATATGTTTGAAAATATGGACTGAGCATATGGTCTGGCCGTTTCTGAGGTGGCAATAGCTAATACGGTCATTAATTTGCAAAGCTAACAAAACCTGCACCAGCCATCTTGCTGATCCAGGTCTGAGCTCCCACGACACACGTGTGCACAGGGGTAGACACACGGACGGATTGCTCAAAGGGGCCATGTGATGATGAGTGGTGGCTGTGGTACAGGTAGGACTTGAGCCCAATGAGATGACTGGCCGGGCAGGACATGAGCAGGCAATGACCAAGGAGCTCGGTGCCAGGGAGACAGATGAAGGCGCTGACCACAAGCACCAAGGTACAGGCATCCCATGGGGGCAGAGTGGCCTACAGGGGAGTGTGCCAGACCACCTCGTGGGACAGCAAGACCCTCACCACTGTGGTGAGCGCCTCCGGAAAAGACACAGGAGCAAGAGGAGATCACTTCTAGACCTGCCTGGAACGTCATTTCCCCTGTGCATCTATGCACTGGCCTGTATTCAGCGCACTGTGTTGAATACCACACTTTAGTTCTCAGTTCAATTTACCAGAAAGAAGCTGGAAACTAAAGTGATGCAGAGGGAGATTTGTATCATCTGATTATGGCACCGACTGACTTTTCCAAAATACCCCATCAGGTTGTGAAATAAATACGTAAATTGTACCAATTTTTTATATTAGCGTTAGGAGAAAAGGTAACATGCTGACTTTAAAAAATGAGGTTAAGTAATACAAAACAGAAAGAAGCGATTTTTTTAAAGTCACAAGATACACTCAGTATGGTGAGTTGTTTTAATGAAACACAGTGGCAAAATTAACTCTACCAGCTACATCTCAAGCAGAGGACTTTTGCCCAGCATGCGGCCATCTCTTGAAAACCTTACAAAAGCCCTCAGGTGGACTTCATCCTGATTTAAAGATGAAGAAGTTGGGACTCACAAAGTTTAAGTAGCTACCTAACATCACAGAGCTAATAACTGATAGAGACAGGTTTGAAGTTCAGGGAACTAACTGGCTGATTGGCTGGGTATTAACTTGGTAAATAAAATGTCTTATCAAGCACTCTGTTAAAAAGAACACTCTTGAAAAAGAGAAAGAAATATATACCATTCTTTCCTGACATAAAATTCACTACCTTCTTAAGAAGCAGAATAGTTTCATAGAGAAATTGCACTATTAGGGTTTTCACTAAGAGAGGCTGAATGAGATCTTTAGTGCGTATTTCCACTCATTGGTCAGTAGTAGAGAAACAGGCATGATCCCAAATGGCTGAGGCAGAGGGATCTCCACCCAGGTTTCTTGCCAAGGCAAAGGCCAGTGAGTGAGTTTGAACTGTCAACAGTTGCCATGACTTGGCACAACTGCTGCTCAGGGGCCACACGACTCTGCACTCCTCCCTCTGAGCCTCAGTGGCTGGCCTTAGAGGCCTTGCCCCAGGGAAGGGCTTTTGTTTTATCTCTGAGGCCAATACCATCTTGGAAACCCCTTTCTCGTGGACATTTGTGATAACTCCCTCTCCCCAAAGCGACCAGTATCAAGCCTCTGCCACAATTCTGCACCTTCTTATGTCAATCATCTTGACCAACAAGGCCATCGACTCTATGATATGGCCCCGAACAGAAGCCAAAGACCATTTGGCCTGTTCTCCAGTAACTGGATTGAATATTAGAAGATTATCCAGTTTGTTTTCCCATCACTTTCCTCCTTTATAATTTTCTTTGTGATGGTGGAGTTGTCACCCAGTGTCCTGTGCATGCTGGGCAAGCACTCTGCCACTGAGCCCTCTCTGCGGCTCTTGAATGAACTGCTTCAAAATTCAGCGAGTCTAATGCCTCAGGCCAAGATACCAGAGAGTTAAGTCTTTGAGGAAGAGAGAAGGACCACAGTGATTGGTCTTCCTCACTAGTTCGTGATTTCCCTGGTAGGTAATACAAAATGAGCTCAGACCAATCAATCCTGCAGAGAATGGAAGAGAGGATGATGGCGGCAGTGGTGTTGGCAGAAAGGTATTCACATAAGAAAAAGTATTAGAATTAACTTGCACCAACATGGTCAGAGCACTGGATGGGAGGGGAGTAACCCTACAGAAAAGTGAAACCTTTGAGTCTTAGGTGGAATGATTGGCTCCTGACCTCTGCTGGCCCCTTAACAGTTCTTTACTTTAGAACTAGCTAGAAATTAGGAAAAGAGGTATTTATTTCTCCATGCATGAGATGAGTGTTTAATTCCTATTGGAACCCTTGGGAAGAAGGCACCATTGTTGAGGGGTATTAGATTTTCCTTTTACTTTAAACTCTAAAGGACTGGGTTTCAGATCAGTTTTTCCTCTGGAGAACTAGACACCTTACTCTCCTGTATCACCAGGATAATGGAGGGGAGTGCACTTTTGGAAGCACCACGGCCCTGCTGTTGTGCTCCTGGGCACCACAGTCACCCTTGTCTGTGCTCCTGGACATGGGGACAAGAGTGTCATGGAACTTTAACCACTGATGAGGCAGTGGGGCAGGAAATAACTGAAAAGAACATTTTCCGGTAAAGAACAGAGTACATAGCCAGTCCTGGAGGGGGGCACCCATGATCCCAGCAGCTCAGGAGACTGAGGCAGGTTCAAGGCCAGACTCAGCAATTTAGTGAGCCTCTTGTCTCCAAGTAAAAACTTTAAAAGGGGCTGGGGATATAGAGCTCAGAGGTAGAGTGCTTGCCTAGCATGTGACAGGCCCTAGGCTTGATCCCCTAAACCACTGAGGGGGCAGGGAGAGAGAACACAGAGCACCTCTGTCAGGCAGAAAGCTCCAGCTTCTTGCTGATGTCAATCAGATTTGGCCAAAGCCGCAGCACAAGCACCAGACAGCAGCCCTGCGGAACAGCAGCCAAGCCCCGCATGCTGAGGCCAACCGGCTAAGAACCTCTGTCCCATTGTTTGTGGAGGAGCTTCGTCTGGAACCACACGAGAGGGAAGAGAATCTTCAAATAGGACCACCAGGGGGATGACCACCAGGCAGACAGGCTTACCATCGGGAAGCCACCTAGCAGCAGAGCGGAATGCAGTGAATGCCATGGGGCCACCAGCCCTGTGGCACGTGCACCAGGGTGTGCTGGTGTGCCCTGGAGGCAAGTGCCACTGACCAGTGGATCTGGACACTGGAATAAAGACTGTGACTTTTTTATTCCTCTCTCTTTATTTGATGCACCCCCAATTCTATATGCAGAACCCCCAATTCCATATGCCAGAGGTCCAGCCATGCCAACCTCCTCCGGAGGCTTCTTCCAAGCGGGAGTGAGAAAGTCACTCTCTCAGGGAAGAGCTCCACTGTGAATAACAGGGCTGCCCAGGGTCCTGTCGGGTACGGGCTGCCTGTGTCAGGGTCCTGGAGGTCCCTGGCTCAAGCTGGGGTCCTCAGGCGCCCCAGGAAGAGGCGAGTGGGAGAGTGAGCTTGGCCACACCCACAAAGGACCTTCTCGGGTGCTCCTGAGTGTAGCCCTGAGCTCCTGCCTGGAGACAGTTCTAGTCCCTGCAGTGCCTCTGACGCCAGACAACAGGGAAACTGTCCTTTCTGGTGTCCCAGGCCCCACATCTGGGGACTGGAAAACTGGGGACAGGAAGAAGGGGCAGTAAATCAGCAGGCAAGGAAAGCCAACTGCAGTGGTTTACTAAACACACACAGGTGTGTACAAACACAGAGGGAGAGAGAAAAGGAATCTGTCCCTCGGGACACAGAGGAGGAACTTTACAGGAACATTGAAAACCTTCTGGAAAGAGGGACCTGGCAATACTGCTGCCAGGAGAGAGCCTTCTTCAGAGATCTGAGGCAGACGGGGGCGCAGGTCTACAGGACCCATAAAACGCTTCATTTTCACTATCATTTGTAATGAGGTTACTTGGGCTTATTTATCAAATAAGTCTTTTGGGGACTTATGGTTTTCAACTGAGTTTATGGTAAAAGGCTATAACTTCTATCTCCCCATTGGATCCTATTAAAAACTCCTGGATTCCCAACGTTTTCTTGGGAATTTTCGCACTCTCGTGAATTCAGAGTGAAAGTCTCAGTCTTGGGCGATTTTGATAAGAAAGGCTGCTGAAGTCATTAAGTAAGTACCTGACGACCAGGGGAAGTCATCTCGGTCTGCTCAGGAACAAGGGGTCTCAAAAAAGCGCCTGCTGGCTTTCTGGTTCTACCTGAGGCAGAAGACCATCCCCAAACCTGCGCACCACGGCCGGCCTCACGTGTCAGGACTAGCAATTTTGTGTGTCTATATTTGAGAACCACACTTCCCACTTCCCGACTCCTCCCGGAACCCCCGAGGGAAGGCCGTGCCCAGGAGGCTGGAGTCGGGCCTCACCGTTGCTGTTGAGGGTTTTCATGATGACCTCCATCTGGGCGAACTCGTAGTTGTAGTCGGGCTCCGAGGAAGCCTCGCTGGCGGCGTCCAGGTCATGCTCTGCCGGGCTTGTCTCCTTCTCGAAGTCTTTCAACCAATCTCGCCGCTTCCTCTTCGGTAAGTTGATCCTGTGGGGTTTTCACCGTTGGAGAAAGTCAACTCCTTGGATACTTAAATGGATAACAGAAAACGTGAATCTGAAAATACTAGAGAACAGGAAGATGTTACCTAAAAAAGTGGTTATTTCCCCACAGGATTCTGTCACCGTGCCACAGCTGGGTGGCACTGCACACAAGAGCACCGTTCACACAGGACCTGAAGGGGCAGAAGGACAAGGTCAGGGGAGCAGAGAAGAGAACGAAACCCAGGGCAGTACTCAAGAGAGATAACTGGGGGAACTGTCTTAGAAAGTGTATTCCAAGTAACAAGGGAAGAAGGAACCAGAGAATTTGTTGTAGAAAAGCACAATCCAGTAATGAAGACCCAGGGCTGCCAGCATCCCCCGGAGAGTGAGAGTCTCACGCGGTGTGCTCCCAACCAAGACGGAAGCGTAGCTGATGGAATATTCGGCCAACACTTGCAAAAACCAAAAATGTGAGGGGCTGGAGTTGTGGCTCAGTGGTAGAGCGCTCGCCTAGCAAGTGTGAGGCCCTGAGTTCGAACCTCAGCACCACATAAAAATAAATAAAATAAAGGTATTGTGTCCAACTATAAATAAAAAACAAATATTAAAAAAAAAAAAACCCTTAAAATGTGTATTAAAGGAACAGCTCAAAACAAAAAGTTTTCCTGGTGATTTAAAAACCTTGGAGGAAGGGATAAATAATTAAAGACCAGTCTGTTAAGGGCTGTCAAGTAAAGTCTGATGAAGGAAAATAATGGACATTATTTTGAGTTTTCCAATAAGTTACTTCTCACATATAATCTCATCGTTTGAGTCCTGTTCTTTCTAGACTTCTAAAGCTCAAAGTGAAATAAGCAGAACTGGAGTTCACACATGCAAGGAACCCCCTTCATAGGAATATTTCAACTCTGGTGACCAGGGGTTTTTGACCATGACAGACCTGGTGCTCTTCAATGATACTGTGCCAATTTCCACAGACGGAGAGCAGAGCCTGAGGATTCAGGCATCCTGAGTTCTGATAAAAGAAAGAGGTGGCCTTCCCCTGAAAGCAGGCCCCAGGAAAGCGGTCATCATTACTTCTCACCTTGCATTTTCTTTCGGAGTAAGAGTGACCTCTCCGTCGGAGGCGATATCGATCTCACAGTGCTCAGGCTGAATCCCTATCCCGAAGAGCTGGATATCCTGAGAGGTGTCTGCACCCACCCTGGTGTGATCCTGGTGGGGTACACCACAGAAGAATGAAAGCCCCGCTTTAAAAAGTGGCTCAGTTAAAATTCATCACAACCAATCTGAATAACGCAACAGCCTATGTATGACGTTACATGAACGACGCAAGGTACCTGGAGTGTCAGGGGTCAAAAGCTCACCTGAGCACACCTAGTTAAAAAATGTTTAAACGTTATAAAAAAATTTCTGGTCGGTAGTGATCGTGTACTGTTTTAAAACACGAGGAAATTGGACTTGAGAGCAGAATAAGGTGAGTCCCAATTCTGACCTATTTATTACCATGTGGGTGACCATGAGCCATTTCTCCCTCTGAGCATCAGTTTCTTTTCCTCTTTATTGGGGTGGGGAAGAGCCGGGATCATATCTATTTGACCTGCTTGGCTACTGGATAAAGTTCTGTTTAGATTTATCTGAATTAACAACGAGACTGTCTTGAAAACAGCTAAATAAATTTAAAAACCACTAAAAAGCAGTGTTAAGGAAAGTTATATCTGTCTATCTACATAAAACTTTTGCTCTTTCATTGGTGCTGGGGTGGAACTCAGGTAAGCATGGGCTCTACCGCTGGGCGACACCCCAGCCACGTGTATACATAACATTTAAAATGATGCACACAGCTGTTTTTCTAATATGAATATGATACAGAGTACTGACACATTGTACAGGTGAGCTGATTTTAAGTTCCCTGGACCTCAGACACACCAGAATTGTAACTCCTGCTGATTCAGTCGCTGTTCATTCACATGGTAATTTTTCAACTGCTCTACAAATTATTTAATCATTATGATAATTATCCTAGTTTGGATCTGGTCTTCCCCCAAAGGCTCCCGTGTTGAGACCTTGGTCCTCAGCTGGTGACACACCGGGAGGTGGTGGGAACTTCAGGAGTGGGGTCTGGTTGGAGGAAGGATGTGACTGGGAACATACCCTTGAAGGATATGACCCTGCCCCTGGTTCTGCTTCCAGGTCACCAGGAGCTGAGCAGCTTCGCTCCCCGCCATGATGCTCTTGCCTCACCACAGGCCCAGAAGCAATGGGGCCAGGTGACCATGAAACCGCTGAAACCAGGGGCCCAAATAAACGTCCCTTCTCTAAGTGCTTTCCTCAGGTATTCTGTCACAGTGGTGAAAAGCTGACTACCACAATGACACTTCCCTAGGCAACAGAAGTGGTGTAGTTCTTGGTTCTTCAAAATTAAAACACCCGAAGTAATTCCTCATCTCTTAATCATTTCCTAAATAAACAGACCTTAAATCTGTTAGTAGATTCTGAGTCAGAGGTTACTGTACCATATTTATATCTCCGCAAAAATTAGAAAGGAAAAAAAGGGTCACAGACAATTGAGGCTCCTTGCTTCAATTCTGGCTTATTGTCCACTATATTTTATCAGTTTACTAGGCAGACTAGAACCCTTAACAAGAACCCATCTCACCCTTCACGAGAAGGTAATTCCTCTACACTTAGAAATTCAGGCAAGTGGGCAGTGCAGTGAGTTACCTTCCAGGCCCAGGTGCTCAACCCCGACAGTTAGGTCAGTACTCCACATATATATATATATATTTTTTTTTTGGCGGGGGTGTTACTGGAGATTGAACTCAGGAGCACTAAGCCACTGAACCTCATCCCCAGCCCTATTTTGTATTTTACTTAGAGACAGGGTCTCACTGAGTTGCTTAGCTCCTTGCTTTTTTGCTGAAGCTGGCTTTGAACTCACGATCCTCCTATCTCAGCCTCCTGAGCTGCTGGAATAATAGGTGTGCATCATCGTGCCCAGCCTACATATATATTTAAATACTACCATAATTCAGAGTTTGTGTGCATGATTAAGTGTGCTCCAATGGTCAGCTGAATGTCCTAGGTCAGCTGGGGTGCCCCACGTCATTGTTAGGGGCCTGTTTCAGGTTTCTTATTTCTTACAAAACGGAATAAGCCAGCAGCTCTAAAAGCATGTTCATGACAACTGGTAGGGAGGCCCGTGAACTCAAAATCACTTCAATAAAAATATTACTAATTTCCTCTGTGCTGTCATTCATCACCACAGACAGTGGAGTCTTTGAAGGCCATTGATGAGTGATGAGGCAGCTCTGGAGACTAACTGCTGTTATTTTTTTATGTTTGTCTTTTAAGATGTCTTCAGTCTTAATGTCAATGCAACAAACACAGATAAAACCTACGGAGTCCTTGTTACTTTTCAACATTATCATTGGGTTCCAAAGCCAGGGAGTTTGAGAACCACCATAATAACTTAGCAAACACGGTCAGTGAACATTCTGAGGTCAAGGTGCCAACTCCTTGACACCATGTTTACAGGCTGATTAGAGGACAAAAAGTCTCTTCCTGGGGATGAAGATTTAGAGACGACAGACCTGGAAGACCTTTGCTGTCTTATCTAGAACGAGAGCTTAGACTTCAGGTGGATCTTGAGATCTCCTTAGAATTACTCAGAAGCATAACAGAGTCTCCAGGGCCTCTCAGGATCTTAGTGGAAGGACCTAATATTCTCAGTCACCTCCCGTGTGGACTCTTCCCATAGGTGGGGCTCACCTGGACACCCTCAGCTGCACAAGGAGGGGATCCTCACCCCAGCTGCCCAGCCCCAGGTGAAACCAAGGAGATGTTTTTCATTCTCAATGGAGAGGAGATTACATGTCCCAGTGTCTTACTCCTAATGAGGGTTAAGCTGGATACCAAAGCAAAATCACAGAGACAGGCATCCAGGTTCAGCTGGGAGCTGTACGTGGATGATTCAGGAGCTCAACTCTTCAAACACTCTCACCTTTAAATAATAAACCAGGAGCTCATTGAGAGCAGGGTCTGCATTCAGGTTGACCAAGTAGCACTTGTCATCCCCCACCTTGATGCCAGACGTCTCCAGAGAAATGCCCATGCTCTCAAGCTGTCGCTGTCTCTCCTGGGCACACACAAAAAGACAAAAGCAGGAACACTATTTGTTGCTGTATTCACAAGATGTATCCAGGGAAAGAGTAAGTCACTGTTTCCGGGGACGATGCCAATGAGATGACACGTTCTTCTCCACTGAACCACGTTTATTGACAGCCTGCCACGGCGTGACATCTTGGGTCAGTGTCACAGGGGCACCAAGGGGGAACCAGACACATCTCGGCCATGAAGGAGGTAAAGTCCTGGCAGAGGGAGCAAAGCACATAACTGAATCTAGAAGAGGAGAGCCCTGTGCCCCGGGGTACCGAGGGCTGCAGGAGTCACAGGAGGGAGGCGGCCTGTAGGGAGAGGCTCAGGGAAAGTCTGTAAGGGGAAGGCACGCTCGAGAGGGTTCCCCAGCACGAGAAGAATTTCAACAGGAAGAAATGAGGGAGCAGCAAGACCAAGATGGGTGTAGGGAAGCCCAGGACAGACCCTGGGCACAGTGGCTGGCCTTGGGGACCGAGAAACCCCAGGGAATAGGGAAAGGCACTGGAGACACGTGGAACAGCAGGGTGGGGCCTTAGATTCCAGGCCTTGAATTCACTGGTGCACTAATTCAGATGAGAGCTGTTCTATTTAGAGTCTGCAAAGTGGCAGGTATTGATGGAGGGCTGGGAATGCAGTAGCGACTGTGACAAAGTCCCTCCTTTCTCTTCTAGTGGGAGGAGACAGGCTGCAAAAACCAGAGAAGTTATTGACAGAATTCGCAGTGGGGTTAAGTGCTCTGGGGACCCATGAAGCAGGATAGGGAGGGGTGTGTGAGTGTGTGTGTGTGTGTGTGCATGTGAATTTTTTCTATAAGAAGCATCAGCGTATGAATATTTTCTCTGATATAAAGAAGCTGATTCATAGTGGGATAGGGAGGGGGAGCATGAGAGGAATAGACGAACTCTAGATAGGGCAGAGGGGTGGGAGGGGAACGGAGGGGGCAGGGGGTAATTAATGATGGTTGAATGTGATAATCATTATTATCCAAAGTACATGTATGAGGACATGAATTGGTGTGAATATACTGTGTATACAACCAGAGATATGAAAAATTGAGCTCTATATATGTAATAAGAGTTGTAATGCATTCCCCTGTTTTTTATATATATATATGCATCAGCAAGGACGGACTGGGTTCTAGGGATTGTATTTAAACTACTTGATTGGCATAGTCCAATATTTCCATGTGGTCAGTAGGATTAAAAATGTTCATGGCGGGGCTGGAGTTGTGGCTCAGTGGTAGAGTGCTTGCCTCACATATGTGAGGCACTGGGTTCAATTCTCACCACATATAAATAAATAAATAAAATAAAGGTTGATCAACAACTAAAAAAAAAAAATGTTCATGAGGGGCTGGGGATATAGCTCAGTTGGTAAAGTGCTTGCCTTGCATGTAAAGGCCCTGGGTTCAGTTCCTAGCATAAAAAAAAAAAAAAAAAAAAAAAAAAAAACTTCATGAAATGCACAGTGTAGAGAGATTCATAGCACACACACTCTGTAGAATTAGTCCTTGCTTTATTTTATTTCAGGCAAAATTTCTTCAGCGTTTTCTTTCTTTCTTTTTGGTGGTACTGGGGATTTAACTAAGGGGATTTAACCACTGAGTCAAACTCCCAGCCCTTTTTCAAATTTTTACTTTGGGCCAGGGTCTTGCTAAGTTGCCCAGGCTGGCCTTGAACTTGCCATCCTCCTGTCTCAGCCTCCCAAGTTGCTGGGGTTAGAGCCCAGAGAATCAAACACACTGAACAAATCATTGTTGTATACGTTATAAATTCAGTGCCTATCGGGGCTCTCAACCTCGTGCTTTGCCAGGTGACCTAAAAAGCCCAGGACAGGCTGTGGATGAGGGCCAAGCGTGAGGGCAGCTCCCGAAGCCCGGCCTGCTCAGGGGCAGCACCCAACACTGCTGGCAGCTATGGACCAAGCTGAATCAATGAAAGACACGAAGCTGGTGTCTAAAGCTGAGCTCGCAGCCTCTAGCTGGGCAGGGACCCTGAGGACTGAGGACAGCAGGTGGCTGCGCGAAGACAGCAAATCTACGTGAGAAGAACCCCCATCCGCTGGCCTCGGTCATCGGGTACCTGTGCGATCTCTTCTGTCTTCCTCAGCTTCTCTTCCCACGTCACTGTTAATTCTTTTATCAGCTTTTCAGACTCTTCGAGCTTCTCCTTCAGTTCAGGAGCCTTCATGGCCTTTAAAATGAAAGCAGAGACATGTGACTTTCAGAATTCTCCTAGCATTAGGTACAAGACACGTACAATGGTGTCCTCATGTCCTTCTGTTGGAAGCAATTAAGTCACGCACTGTCAGGGTGGGGTTTAGACCTCTACCAATCACACGGAATGTAGGAGGAGTGGATGCTCCTGCTTCAAGGAAAAGAAGAAATACCAGAGCCCTGAATGAAAATGGGGCAGGTCACGAGAGTCATCTTAGGGCAGAGGGTGTAGTGCAGTGGTAGGGTGCCTGCCTGGCATGCAAGAGGCCCTGGGTTCCATTTCCAAAACCGCACAGACCCCCCAAAAATCACTTCAGCTATCATGCTCAGAATTTCACACCTAAAGACCTAAATGCTAATGTTTATCTTTGAGATGTTAAAGTGGGAAAAAAAGGTTACTGAAACTTCTTGTTCATTAAGACAAAGAGAGAAACTCGTACCACCAATAAACAAATGAACTACATTAACTGACCAAGAAAGAGGATGATTCTTTTCATTTATTCAAAAAATCTGAATCTGGGCCCTTTCAACGACTTTTCTCTATAGATAGTAATGGACATTTTGCCAATTATTTATGATTCATTTGGAACCAGGACGTCTGAGAAGTTTCCCTCTGAGTTTGTTCAGTAAGAATAATTAAGGGGTCCAAACAGAGATACCTGCAACTTGAAAACCTGGGGGGCTGTGCTTGGCAATGGATTGCTTTGACACTTTGCAGCATCACGAGCCTCTGAAGACCAAAGCGCTGTGAACTGTTATGATGGTGGAGCCTGGTCTGGCAGTGGGGCTGGTGATGGCCTGCTGGCTGAGCAAGCCGAGTCTCCAGGTGCCACCAGGGGCTCGGGGACATTCATTGCTGGATACAGGGTGATTGCCAGGAAACTCCAGCTGCACCAGGGGGCTTGTCTTCTCTCCCCCTGACCAGGCACTGCTCTAGCTATCTGGTCTGGATCATATGGTCACAGTGGGAATGCAAATCCAGAAACTCTGCCTCTGAACAAATTCCAGAACAAATACACACTTCTCCTGGGATCATGACTCTTTTAAAACTTCATCAACATTTTGATTTTCCTGGTGTTTTACTAACCCTTCTTGGCATCAATAAAGTGATTATGCTTTATGGTAAAACATAAACTAGCAGCACTTCCTGGGCCAGCTGGGCGAGGAGTTAAGGATGAAAAAAATGAATTAAACAAAGGCTCCCTGCACTTTAAGAGCCGACAGTCTGGAAGAAGACAAGGCAGTAAAGAAAGAGTTAAAACGCAAGGTCAAGGTCGCCAAACTCAGTGTCTGTTCTGTCTCTTGCTGATTACTTTTTAATTAAATAATGTTGACAGATAAAGAGTATGAAAAGATGCCCGGCACATAAGCAATCAATAAATGATGGCTATCGCCCTCCTCCTTCATTTCTGACTAAAGTGGGGTCAGAAGACAGCAGCATGAAGAACGGTGAACTCAAGTGTCAGGTGCACACTTGAGCCCTGCCGTGAGGAAGCTGATGGCTGCAGCTACGGCCTTTGGCCTCCATCTCTGTCCCCTCACCTATGCCAAATGAGGTGGTGCCACGCCCAGCAATCTGCAAAGACCAGCACTTATCTATGAGAGTACATGGTTATTAAAGTTTCAGAAAAGCCAAGGAAGATGGTAACAATACGAAAATAGTGATTTGTTGCCTGATGGAGGCTGATGTAAATGAAAAAGGAAAAATAAATAATTTTCTGAATCATTCCTAATGCTTCATTATCCGTGCTCATGGCATGGGCAAGACTCGACATGGAGATGATACCCAGCTTCTTTGAAAACTGCAAGGCCTTGTGGAGACCCAGTCTACGGTATTGGTAAAACATCACACTAGGTTCTCAGGATTTCACACGGAAGTACAAGGGCCAACCCGTTGACTGGAGTGAACAATCAGGAAGTACCAGGAATGACCTTGTCGACTGCACATTGCTAGGACAGAAGTCATGTAGGTCCTCACGATGCTCGGCACAGAGCAGACGCCAACAAAAACTGCAACGTCGAGTCACAGGGAGCTAGACCCAGAGCTGCAAGCAAGCACGTCCTCACCCCGTGAGGGAAGAACTCGAAAACGGAGCATCTCCCCGACTTTACCTCGGCCTGGGAGAGCTGCTCCCGCAGCTTCTCCACTTCCTCCCGCAGTTCTCGGATGACTTTGGCATTGGGGTCCTCGTTCACCACGGCATGGTTCACAATCCGCTTGGCTCGGTCTGCGTATCTTAACGTGGACAGGGTCTCCTCATAGTTGTCTGCTGCGGGGCTGATGGTGGCAATCATGGAGGTCTGGCTGTTGCCCCCCAAATTGTCCTGCAAAGCATTTCAAATAGCATCTCAGGGAAGCCCATTTCAACACAACACATTTGATGAAAGCAGTAAATATGCATCTGTGACATGACTCTGTTTTTCATATGGTACCAGGGATTGAACCCTGGGCCTGGTGCATACTAGGTAAGCACTATTCTACAAAGTCACACCCCCAGCCCTTTTTATTTTGAGACAAACGCTCGCTAAATTGCCCAGGCTGTCCTCAAGCTTGCGATCCTCCTATCTCAGCCTCCCAAGTAGATGGAGTCAGAAGCATCAGCCACCTAGTGTGCCCATGACCTGACTCTGGATAAAAATGCTATGGGGAGACGTGTTTGCATTTCACAAATAATTTTTATGACAAGATTAAATGTGACCTCCTTATAATCACAGCAGTAAATAATGCCTGTCAAACAAGGTTATAATAGAATAAAAAGCAACCGAGAGAACTGTCCCTGCCTTCCAGGGACTTCGGACGACAGTGTTGCCAGCACAGATCCAAGTGTATTTGGTTGGCTCTGCACACATCTTCCAACTGTCACATCTGAAGTCGCCAATTTTATTTTCATTTTAATTTTTGGGAGGACTGGGGACTAAACCCAGGGGTGCTCTACCCTGGTTACATCTCCAGCCCTTTTTATTTTTTGAGACAGGGTCTCACTAAGTTGCTGAGACTAGCCTCAAATTTGTGATCCTTCTGCCTTAGCCTCCTGAGCCACTGGGATCATAGGCGTGCCCCAGTGCACCCTGGTGAAATGGCCAACTTTTAGGTGGAAAAGAGCACCAGAGCAACGGGTTACCTTAAGAAGCCAAGTGAGGACCGAGTCTCGATAAGGCACAAATTTGTTTTTACCCTTGCCTGCAGCCTGGTCAGCCAGCGATGATATAACAAGCCCTAAGGTTGTCAATGATCTGCCGAGAAAAAAAGAAAAGTTACTCTACGAAACATTCGCTTTGCTTTCACAAAATAATTTTCTTCTGTGTATAAAATACGCAGAACAGGCAGAACAACAAGACCTTAAGGTCAATGCAATCAACTCGCCATTAATTTGCCAAGAATCAAAGAAAAACAAAATGTAACTCCATTAGTTTTTCTTTCTTTCTTTGTTTTGTTTTGTTACTGAAGACTGAACCCAGGAGTACTCTACCACTGAGTTACAGCCCCAAGCCCTTTTTATTTTGAGACAGGATCTCACTAAGTTGTTTAGGGCCTCACTAAGTTGCTAAATTTGGTCTTGAATTTGTGATCTTTCTGCCTCAGCCTCCCAACTCGCTAGGATTACAGATGTGTGCCACCGTCCCCAGCATAACTCCATTAATTTAAAAGAATGAATTTAGAATCCCAATAAGAAAAATACTGAATTCAATCTTAGGATCTGTGTGTGAGACATAGGTATTTTAGAACTTGGAGACATCCGTTTAAAAGATCACATCAGGCAACTTTAACTTACTGCAAATATTACAGTTAAAACTCTGAAGCATTTATTTACTTATTCATTTATTATTAATAGTAGTGCCGGGGACTGAACGCAGGGATGCTTTACCACTGAGCTATATCCCAGCCCTTTTTATGTTGAAACAGGGTATTGTTAAGTTGCTTGGGGGTCTCACTAAATTGCTAAGGTTGGCCTCAAACTTGTGATCCTCCTGCCTCAGATTCCTGAGTCATTAGGATTACAGGCATACGCCAGTGAGCTCAGCTTTATGCATTTATTTTGGACCATATGGTTGTACAAAAACAAAGAACTACCCAAGTAGAGAAGAGCATATGACTCCCTTTTTTGTATGTGGTGCTGAAAATCCAACCCAGGGCCTTGTCCATGCCACCAAGTGCTCCACCACTGAGCTATACCCCAGTTCCCGCCTTGTCTTTCACGCCCTGCTACTCAGAGTGCCATGGCACGACCTGGGAGCTACTCAGATCCTCTCAGAAGCGTTCCCCAGCCAACTGAATCAGTCCAGCACACTACACTTTGAGAAGTTCTAGCTGAACAATCATCCAGGAAACACACTTTAGTTGTCCAGGCTTATCATTCTCAAAGTGTGGTCCTGCGACCAGCAGTAACCCCATCATTTGGGAACTAGTTAGAAGTGCAGATTCTTGAAGCCAACCCCAGATCTTCTGGCTGAGAAACTTCATTTACACCCAGCAGTGTGCATTCTGACAAGCCTCCCAGGTGACTGTGATGCAGGCTACAGTTGGAAAATTACTAGCCTTGGCTCACAAGCTTTCTTCTTTCTCTGCACCTGAAGAAAAAAGTGCTCTAAAAACAACAGACCCATGACTCTGGTGGATGAAGGGATCCTCTTGGGTCACAGGTGAGTACCAATTACTCTTCTGAAAGGAAATCAACTAGATCACGAATTGAGCACCCAGAAAACAGCAACCTGAGCTGATCTCACAGGACTACAGGGAGGGTTACATGATCTCACAAAAGGAAAGTGCTTTGTAAATGGCTAAAAAGGCTAAATGTTACTGTTTATTTATAATAAAGAAGGGCACAAACCAGCAAGTGAAATACTGTCAGCTTTCTTTCTACTGTTAGCAAGAGATTTCCACTGAATACAATGAAAGAAAGCAGAGTTCCCACAAAACATAGCTAAGTCCCAAAAGGAAAGTCACCGAAAAGTCACTAAAAGATAAAGCAACTTCAAGAGGCAGAAAATGAGCCAGAGCTCATTCAAAGAGAATGGCAGTTGGAGTTTTCAGTAACTACCACCCATTACCACAAAACGGCACAAACATACACACCATACTTGGCAGATTAAAAACGTTAAACAAGTTTAACACAAGAGAAATGAAAGCATATATCCACACAAAAACTGATGCATGCATTTTCAAAGCAGTATTATTAACAAAAGCCAAAAATGCAGAAACAATCCAAGTGTCCATCACATACTAAAGGGATGAATAAAGACCTAAATACACACAGTGGAATATTAGTTGGTCACGAAAAGAAGGAAGTCTTGGATGTAGTTCAGAGCATGTGCAGGATCTGAGTTTGATTCCCACTCCCAACACAAAGTCCCAAAAGAAAATGAATGAAACTACAATGTGGATGAATCCCAACACATTATGGTAAGTGAAAGAAGCCAATTAGGAAAGGCCGCTATCCTGGATCAAATAAACATTTCACAAAAATCCACACAACCAGAACCTCAGAAATAAAGGCAAGCAGGAGTGTAGTACACACATTTCTGCCTTAACATAGAATATAGGACATTTTTTTTTTCACATTTTGCAATCATTGAAATAAACCATCAGTTGGAAATGGCTCTTCAAATAATTGAAGACTTATTCCATGTATTTTACTAGCAAGTGCAGAAGAATTTTTTTTCTTTTTCATTTTTTTTTCCTTTTTTTGGGGGGGGGCAGGGCAGGGGGGGAAGAGACTCAAGTCTTATGCATGCCAGGCAAGTGCTAAACCATGGAACAGCATCCCCTACCCAGAAATCTTTTTAATTAATAAAAACTCTAAACAGCTCTGTGACTCAGGAGTCACCATGGCAACGTTATGGTTGACAGTGACCTTATAACAAGGATGCGGGTTCCTCATCACTGAGGATTAAAGCCTTGGCATCTCCGCCTCCATTTTGCATCCATGTGCTTTGCTCTAGGTGACCTTGGATTCTAGGAACAAGGTCTGAGCTGATCAACATCTTGTGATGAGCGGAAGCCACCCCCAGGAAACAGCAAGTTCCTTATCTGGGACAAGCTCTGCCTGAGAGGAGATGGACAGAGATCACCTGTGAAAAGCCTCCAGCTCTGCAAACCCCCAACCCCTGCCCTCATCCTCCTATCTATAAAATCTCCAAGTCACCTTCACTCCTGGAAGGCAGGGCTAAGGACAGGTCCTCTTGTCTTCCTGTGCAGCTGCACTGACCAAGGTTCCTGTCCTGCTTTTTACCATCACCTTTGCTCTTTGGCTTTTGGGGTGAATGGCCAGGTCTGGTTTGTTGGCTCCCTGATGTCAGGCCTCTAGCCTGGGACTCCAGGAAACAACTCTCACATGGAAACACGCCTGGGGCGTGACACGGATTTGTCATTGCTGAGGAAAGATTCTACTCTGTCTTGTGGCAACTGCTTATATTTTTCTAATTTGGCAGTGTGGGGAGACAAAAAGGAAAGTTTTGGGTACCCCTAAACAAAGAAACAAAATCCAGTTAGGACTCTGAGAGAAAAAGGAAAGGATGATGCAGCGTTATCGAAGGGTCCAAGAACAGGCCACTCCAAGACACTGTACTGGGCAGAGGGGTCATCTGGGGCTAAAGGACTAAGTGAAAGTCTTAAGAAGTGGGCACTTTTGTCTTTCTGCACCAGGAAGAATCCCATTTCTCACCAATGGAGAAGGCAAGGCCGTAAATCTGCATAACAAACCTACTAAGCTCAGGCTCACTGCTTTCCCTCCTCATCTGCCCCCAGGAGCTCCCAAGCCTCTCCTTCCCCTTAGTCTGTACCCCAATTCTAACCTCCCCCCATCCCTGAGGGTTACTGTCCCTGGGAGCTTACTTGTGTAAACAAGACGCATGGACTAATAACCAACCCAGTGCAGCGTTTGTTTCTGCAAATGTGTCTTTGACCAGTTTAATTTCCAGGGGAACCTAAGAGGGCAGAAGTGGGTCTCGCCCACAACATCGCTCAGTACAGCGTTGTCAGAGGACGAGATGGAAAGGATTTAATGATCTTACTTTGCTTTATTTTTGATTCTAGCTGCAGGTGACACTTCATTCCATAGAATAGAATGAATGTTCCAGGAAGCTGAGCACAAGAGGTTGGTTTTCTTAATAGAAAAAGTGGCTGAAGAAAAGGGGTCAGAGGGATTGATAAAGAGGACTGTCATTTCAAAGTTGGTTTCCTTAGAAGGCAGGGAGAGGGAGAAAGAACAACAGGAAGAAAACTGATTAACACCAGGCTACTTTTTTGTGTGTAAGGTTAAGGCAGAGCAGACGTCATCACCATGACAATTCAAACTGGCCTGTAAGGGAAAAAGGGCTCTCTCTCCATGGCTTTCCATCTCCAGAGGTCACATGAACTGCTTAGCTTCAGGGTGGTGAGGTGCAATTCCAGGGATTTCACTTTGATTTCTAATTTGCTCTGTTGGGGTCCAGGGCAGGAGCTTAGTCCAAAACAAGGGCTTCCCTATAATTTGTATTTAACAGCATGTAGGCATTAGAGGTATACGGAAATGGTTATAGGGCTCCAGTTTCCATGGTATCCATGAGAGACTGATTTCAGGATGCCCCCTGCCATGGGTACCAAAATCTGCAGATGCTCAAATCCCTTATATAAAAGGCATAGTGTTTCAATACAATCTACACATATCCTCTGACACATTTTAATTTTTAGGTGTGTGTGGAAGAAACTCAGGGGGCTTTGACCACTAAGCCCTTTTACTTTTATTTATGTTTATTTATTTTACCTTTATTTATGTATGTACATACTTTTATATACCAGGGATTGAACCCAAGGATGCTTAACCACTGGGTCACATCCCCATCCCTTTTTACTTTTTATTTTGAGACAGGGTCTCACTGAGTTATGAGGCTGTCCTTGAACTTGAGATCCTCCTGCCTCAGCCTCCTGAGTTGCTGGGATTCCAGGTGTGCACTACCACACTGGGCTCACTCATATACTTCAAACCCCTTTTATACTGTCTTGTTTAGAAAATAAAGACAAGAGAAACTCTGTAAATGTTCAGCACAGATGGAACTTTCTTCTCTAGTATTTCTAACCCGCCACTGGCTGGATCCGTGGTTGTGGAAGCCCTGGATACGGAGCGCTGCCGGTTCGCTCTGTAACTCATCCAGCTTAGGAGGTGCATTGTTGGTGGAAGCCACACCCTTCTACCCAGCAGCCTTTGCACACTCAGTCCAAGAACTCCTCTACACCCACTAGGATCACCGTGGAACAA